AGGGTATCTTCTAGTCGTGCAGTTCGGCAAGGCTATTTCCTTTGCCGAGCATTTTATAACGATTGGGGTATCTGACGTGCTTTTAGCTCCTTTAGTCCTGCCTACAGGGCATCTGCTAGTCGAAACACTCAACTGGTGAGCTTTTCCCTTATTTTTGGATGAATGTTGTGCGCGCTGAATTCCCGCTCCTTTGCCCCACCCCCCCTCGCAGGACTTTCAGTCAAATCGTTGCGGCTATTTACACAAATTGCCATTGAAAATGCGCCTGCATGTGGCAAGTGGCATGTGTGGCATGCGGCATGCGGCAGGAGTCGGAAGTCGAGCAAAGCGGCTTGCATAATTGAAATTATTTACATTATATTTGAGCGCGAACATTTCTCATCCAACCAGACAAGAGGAGCCTGGGGAAGGCATGACTCCACCCCATTGCCGCCCACAACTTTTTCATTTCCATCGATTTTTTACGACTTTTGCATACATATTTTACACGTTAAATGGACTGCCCTTTGTCTATGTGTGTGTGTTTTTTGCTATTGGATTTTTTGGTCAATTTAAGAGCTAAGCGTGATAAAGTGGAAAAAAGAAATGAGCCCTACACCCTATACCCTATACCCTAAAACACTCTATACTCTATACTCTATACTCTATACTCTATACTCTATACTCTATACTCTATACTCTATACTCTATACTCTATACTCTATACTCTATACTCTATACTCTATACTCTATACTCTATACTCTATACTCTATACTCTATACTCTATACTCTATACTCTATACTCTATACTCTATACTCTATACTCTATACTCTATACTCTATACTCTATACTCTATACTCTATACTCTATACTCTATACTCTATACTCTATACTCTATACTCTATACTCTATACTCTATACTCTATACTCTATACTCTATACTCTATACTCTATACTCTATACTCTATCCTCTATCCTCTATACTCTATACTCTATAGCCTATAACCTTTAACCTATATCCTATCTTCTTCAACCAATTCCTGTTTATTTGACATTTTATCGCATACTGCACTTTAAAGCTTAAGTTTTAATGTTCCTAGCTTCTGCGACAAGTTATAAAAAAAAACTAGGCAAACACTCTTGGGGTAAGGAATGAGGCGTGCCTGGCATTTGTGCAGCTGGAGTCAAGTTATGAGTGTGGAAACGTTGACATTGCAAATGTCAACAGAGCTGCAAATTGCTGTTGTTTTTACGGATCACAGTACGTGCAACAAAAAATAGTTGAATTTGATTAAAAAAGATAAAACTGTTGCCACAAAAGGTGTCTGTCAAGGTATGTCTATGTCTATTCCAAAGGAATAGAAAGAAACTGTTATACATTCATGTCAGCTAGTCTGTTAGACAATTTCTACCAGTGCTATATATACAGGCTGTTATACACAGCAAATGGAGAGATAATTATACCAAAGTATTATAATATAAATATAAAGTGTGTTTGTCGAGGTAGCAGGATCCACTTGACTAGAAGGCAGCTGTTGCATTTTCTAGAATAGAAAGCAACTGTTATACGTAAATACAGACGGAAAGTGTCAACTGTTACACACAGCAAATAGGGAGATATTTTAACTAATATAAACTTATATAGCCAAAAACCAGCTGAGTCGTCTAGATTTTATTGCCTACTATTAAATAAAAACTGTTATATATTACTCAAAATAATCTTACATAAGCAAAGTACACCCATGGCTATAGAACCCAGTAATTGTATACAATTGTTGAAAGCAGTGAAAGTATGAAGTACCTACAGAAAACTTTGAAGGTCTCTTGTTATACAGATCCATTGTATTATTCAAAAGTAGTTCTTTTCTCAGATTCAGCATAATTCAAATGATTAATGGTGTTTTAGCAAAATTTGACACTGTTATAAAAATATGTTATGAACAAAATTCAAAGCAAAAAAATATTAACTACATATAGTTATAAAATATATATATTTTACTCGTAACCAAACCAACGACAGAGCATTTAAAGTTATGTTGATACCTTTTGTAACAATTAATAACTTATACAAGTACAAACAAATGATAATCCTTACAATTAAAACAAAGTAATTTGCAGCTTTTATATTGTTCTATGCTGTTATACACAATCATAGACAGTTATACAAATAACAAATTTTGGGAAAATTAATTGTTGTCAAACTATTTTCGCCTCGTAAGCTACAACAATCCAATATATGCATACATATATACTATATATAAACTACAACAATTTGCGAGTATTTGCGCTGTCGCCCCTTTGGGGGCGTGTCATTTAATAGGCGGCCGCCAGTGTTGCCAATCTGTGTGTTTGTCGGCCTGGCGCCCAAATGAAACGACATTAAATGCCACAACTTGTGATTCAATTTCGTTCTGCCAACAAGGAAGAAGAAAAATAAACAAGTCGGGCGTAACCAACTGCGCAATGCTCTGTTCGCCTTGTAATTAATGTATTAAAATTGATCGAAAAGCTTTTTGAAGATTTTTATGTTGGTTTCTAGCCACAAAAGAGGTGAACACAGTAGCATACATAAAAAAGAAGATAGTCAGACAATGCGCAAAACCAATATACCCCTTTTGACTTTGTCAACAGAGTATGACTGCCAAAATGAAACACAACCACAGCACAAACTAGATGCCAAAGTTGTTATCGGCGTAATGAAAAACGTTGTCTACTTTTGTGCGCGCGTCATTTGCCTGCCCATATCTGACATTTCCGATGACGCGGAAATACATACATAAATATACATATATATATATGTATATCTAAATTTTATGGACTGTGTGACAGCAAGTTAAACGGCGCGCAGAGACTTATCGCAAATAAGCCCACAAAACATTCCTTTAAGGCTTTTAATAGCCGTTCCCAACGAAAACACACAAACAAATCCCCAACAAATGCGTTCGGCTTGCCCATTTTTTTCATTTATAGGGTATATATATGGGGTGTTCTACTTTTGTCACTAATTGTATAATGCGTAGAAGAAGACCCTATAAAGTGTATAAATTCTGATCAATATCTGTTCTATGCAAAAAAGTATCTCAACAAAATGTTACAAAATCGTGCGTAGATATATATATTTCTGCTGAATCGGTAGATAAAGGACTTCTTCTGCTTCTTCTCTTTTCCAAGATTTCTTAAGCAAATGCTTACGAGTTTATCTATGCCCCAATAGCTTATATATCTACAAGCCCGCATCAAAGCGGACAACTATATCACATGATAATTGGCCATAAGATCAATTGGCATAAAAGACCTGCCAAGCAAAGCGTATTTAGTCTTCGACTTGCCGTATTTTCTTGACTTTTTTTTTGTTGTCAGCCTAGTTTTGGTGCTTTGCCAAATGCTCAACACGTTCCAGTCTCATTGTGTTGGCTTATTTCGCCCTTTAGTTTGTGGACCCTTTGCCACTTGCCGTCTGTCAGATTTATGACAGTTTCGCCTGACACCCAGCACGTTCTCTTCTTTGGCGCCAAGTTAAATATATATATGCTATATACGTATACCAGATGTTTACGTCGGGGCATATAATCGATTTTGTAGGCCAGTATGTAGCCAGTGCATAAATCATAATTTCCCAAATGACTGATAATTTAGGGCAAGGCGTGTTCTTTAACGCCAACATGAAATTCCATTAATCATTTAGATCAAAATTAAGTTTTTGGGCAAATGGGGAATTTTTGAAAAAGTATTATAAATGAGTGCGCGATGATTTTATATAATATCTAAAGTAATTTTTCTTACAAGCATGTTAAAAAAAATGTATATAAATTCATAAGTTAGATTGGCAAAGCAAAATTAATTTAATTTAATTTCCTCATGGAATACGGGCAAACGGAAAACAAATGTGCAAGCCCCTTGAAGCATTTTAACCTTTGGCATTCTACTTGGAATAAAAAGGGGATAAAAAGTTGCTGTGCCCAATAAAAATGGCTTTAAGGGGCATAATAAAATTATGCAAATATATTCAACGGACGCAACTACACATTTCTTATCCTGTCCGTAAGACTGAAGAGTTGTTGGCTCTTCAAATTAATTTTAATTATAAACTTTCAAGAGCCTGCAAAACTAATGCAACTAAAATAAGTGTAAGCTCATTTCTGTTATCCGAAAATGTGTTCTCTTGCAGCTTCACAAAGTTTATTCATCTGAAACTCATCTTTCAAAAATCCTTGAAATTTTCGTTGAGCTGCTGCTTGTGCTATTTTTTCTCGTATATTAAATGTTCATTATTAAACGGAAATGGGAAATTGCCAGCACAGTGCTGTAAAAGGCCATACAAAAACTTGCAAAATTGAGGAATATTTCATGAACAATTTGTGCAGGAAATTGTAATGCACAAATTCAATAAAACGCTGTTGCCTGAGAACCTTTCATGTTCTGGGTCATTTGACAACACTGGCTACCAAAATTAAATGCACAAATTAACGAAAATGCTGTTGCCTGAGAAATATAAACGTTTTAGGCCGTTTGACAACACTGGCTACCAAAATTAAATTAAATAAAGTTCTATTTCCTGCGAAGTATAATTGTTGTGGGTCGTTTGCCTGAAAACTATAAATATTTTAGGTCATTTGACAACACTGGCTACCAAAATTAAAAATTCAAATTATCTAAAGAGCTGTAGCCTAAGAACTTTAAATGTTTTGGGTCATTTGACAACACTGCCAACTCAAAGTATACTTATAAATTAATGAATGAATACTATAAATGTCTTTGAGCCTTTTGGTAACACTGGCTACCAAAATTAGACCGTATATGTTTGATGTGTGTTAGGTGTTTTTTCAACACTGTTTACCCAAAGGAGACAAATCATTTAACAACACTAAGCAACACTAAATTTCTATTTCTATTTTTTCTGAACCCCCAAACGAAGTTAATTTACTTCAATTGTGGCTAAGTGCATAATCAAAGGCAATTATAATGCCATTTACTGCCTGGGTATACCCACAACTAATACGCTATTTATCCTTTGTACAGGTTCTCCAGCCGCTATGAGCTTCCATTGCTGGTGCAGAGCGTCGTCATGAATGTCACCATGTTCCTAATGATACACCTTTGCGTGAAGGTGAAGCGCATGAATGCCAATACACGTGACCATGCGCTGCGTGGTAAGGCAACGTCTTCTTCTCTTACCTTAGTCTCGATTAAATAATGACAACATACTTTTCCATTTAAGGCGACGAGCTGCACTTGCCAAAAGTGCTGACGGACACGGACACCGGCGCCTCCGTATCCACAGATGCGGGCGTCCTGAAGCGTGCACGTTCCAGGCATTATTTGAATGGTGAGTCACAAGGCGAAGTTGCCATTGAAAAGTTCTCCCGCATTGACAGCTGACAGCAATTTCCGTTCCGCCAGCTTTTCTTAAGGTGGAAGAGCCAAAGAGCCACCCATATCACCCTACATATATCAGTTTATGGCCCAGTATAACACTCCCAGTTCCAGTTTTCAATTTCTATTTCTCTACTTTTACGGCGCTTCGTTATCTATTTGCGTCATTTACAGTATTTTAGCCTCGGTACCTTATCAATCTGCCCTCGCGCAGGGCAACATAATAAAATTGGGTTAGGAGGCGGGAACGTGGCCCATAAATTGATCAATGAACAAGGGCCACAACCCCGACACAGGCACAGCATTGAGCTAATTATAGAGGCACGCCTGGGGCTTCTTTGTTATCTTTGTGGGAAATGTATTTTTTCGTATACGTTGTGCACTGCGCCTAAAAGGCGGCAACAATAATAAGAATTGATTTAAAAATAAGTTTGCCAGTTTTAAAGCGTCAATTCAAATATAAATAACAAACTTAATAAATAAGTATAACAGTTATTTCAACATTCACGCTCTGTTAAATTGCATAATCTGAAAAATTTTGTGTTACAAATGGACTTAACCGTTTAATACTGAACATTGTTCGTGTATAACAGTTAAGCATATTGTATTATAAGTGTAATTGGGATAGCAAACTTTGTTCGTATATAACAGTTATGTATATTATATAACAATTGAAGTTAACAGTTTAATGCTGAACATTGTAAGTGTATAACAATGATGCATATTATATACCAATTGGAGCTAAAGATGTATCACTGAACATTCTTTGAGTATAACAGTTATATATATTGTATAACAATTGGAGTTAACACAGCTATGCATAGCGTCCAATTGAGAAAAACATTTTACACTGTATAACAGTAAAATAGTTAGCTGTTACTTTAAGTACAACTGCCAACTAATTTGCTACAACTGTTTAGCACAGTACTCCACTTTTTATGGCTATATAAAAGTTGTTATTATGGCCGCGCACTTGTCCTACTTCTTTTTCTATAAGGACTGGTTAGATAATAAACATTTTATGCTGTATAACAGTATGAGGAGTTGTTTGACAATAAAACATTGTATACTAAATAACATTCTTATTAGAAATTGAAGTGAAGATTCCTATTCCTATCGATTTTATATAACAGTTTCATATAGCCAATAGCTATATAAAAGTTTTTGATAAAAAACTTGACATTGTTTGATGAAAACTTTTTAAACTGAATATAACACTTGTATAACAGTTGAGTTTAACATCAATTTCAGATCTGGACTTCAAATACTTTTGGAACTGGACAGATTTTCAATCGTATTTGGACATGATGCTCGTCGTTTGGGCCGTTGGCGCCGCGATCACATATCTGATGCTCTCCGTTCACTGGTTCATGGAGGCCATGGGCTTTGTGGCCGTCTTCACAGAGGCCATGTTGGGTAACATACTTCTCCTAGGCACAAAATAATTCCCAATTTACCCATTTGCTTTATCCTCAATCGACAGGTGCACCGCAGTTTCTGCGCAACTTTAAGAATAAATCAACATATGGTATGAGCATACACATGGTGATCATGTGGACGCTCGGTGATATGTTCAAGACTGGTTACTTTATTGCTAGAAATGCGCCATCGCAGTTCTGGATATGTGGCACGCTGCAGGTGCGTACAAGTTTCGATATTATTTATATAATATTACTAATATTAAAATAAACTCATGTTAAAAATATTAACAAGAAGAAACAAACAAATTTCGCCACAAAATGTTGCTGAAGCATTTAAAGTGAACCTTGCTTAGATCAATGCAAGAAAAATAAATTAAAACTTTAGTTTAATTCATATATTTGTAACTTTTCAATAGTTCAATTTAAAATATTCGCACCGCATTTCCGATTGCTCTTGAAATACCTGAGCTATTTTCAGGCACTTGTTACAAATTTCTAGATGCTATAAAAACTGCTTTTAATGGCCTCAAAGTTCAACGAATGCATTTATTTTGCACTATGGGTAAAAACGAAATAAAATTGAAAAGATGTTCAGAAAACAAAAACCAATCGCGAATAGAAGAAATCGAACATGTTTTGGAGGAAACAAAATTGAAATACAATTTTTGTAAGACGCTCGATGAACGCGTAAACAATCTTAAAGTGGCGCGCAAGATCTTCAAATAAGATCACTTTTCTATATAGTATATAGAACATCATAATATAGGAGAACAAATATAGTGAGCATCAAATAATTTTTAGCGTCATAATTTATCGTGCATCAGAAATCGAAGCCCCGCTTTTTGTACAGAATAGTTATTCAACTAGATTAGTTTCAGTGATATTTTTTATTTTAAAGCCGCAATACAAAATATCTAGAAAAATGATAAATTGATTTCCGATTTAAGGCTGTGCAGATATGTTAATTAACAGCACTGCGAACCAGCTTCCTGCCTTAACTTGTGGTTCATGTAACTGCTTTTCCCCAGACATGAACCCAGGCTCTGATTTGTCGTACATATAAAAAATGTAGAGGAAATAACATTAAAACCTTGTAGAGGGTATTGTAATTTCGTCATTATATGTGTAACGCTTAGAAGAAGATATCTCCGAATCCATAAATTAAATATGTATTAGATCAACATCAACAGTCGAGTTGATATAATTTTTAATATATTCCCTAATATTCCCAAAATATTCTATTTTCCAAGACTCTTCAAACAAATTAATCTATATACGAGCATAATTATTCTCACATATCTATAAAAGCGTTAGGCAAATGTAAAAAGGGTATTATATCTTTGCAAATGTAAGAAGGGTATTAAATCAAAGATAACTTTGCTTACAAACAATGCATTTACGAGCTACACTTCCCACATATCCATGTGTAAGTTAATTGTCTGGAAGGGTATTTAAACTTCGGCTTGCTGGAGATTTCGTTGTTGTTGATTTATTAAAATTAATTGTGTTTAACATGCAACACCTGCCCTGCCCTTAGCTAATGCTCAACTTTTATGCAGGTCAGCCTGGACATTGCCATATTGCTGCAGGTGTGGATCTATCGGAACAATACGAAGCCGCGCGACCTGAGGCGCGGCGATTAGCAGTTTGCCCCCGAAGAACAACAACAGCAGCAACAACAACAGCAGCAGCAACAACAACAACAGCAACAGCAACAACAACAACATCAGCAGCAGCAACAACAACAAAACGATTTGCACATTTCGCTCTCCGAGGAGCGACAATTGTCGCTGCCAATGACGCTCAGCAGCAGCGGCGAGGATCATCTGCTGACCGCACGCGCCGACGACGAGCACTTCAAGACCCTGGACTTTGGCCAGTGCCACGACAATCGCGCCTTTCAGCACCCGAACAATAATAACAACAACAAGAAGAAGCAGCTGCTGCCACGACCCGGCGGCAGCGGCAAGAGCCAGAGACGGCACGAGCACAGCGCATCCCATAACGCTGTGGCCGTTGCCCTGGATGCCCTGGAGGTGGTCATTGTGCATACACCGAGTGCCCGGCTCAGCAATGGGCCGGCCGCGTCACTGGCCTTCCAGGCCGACCAGGAGCACAGGCACAGTCACAGTCATGGTCGCGGGCGCGGCGGCTGCTGTCAGCGACGCAAGCGGCACAATGCGACGCAGACGTCCGTGGAGCGCTGCTGCTGTGCCGCCGGCGGCTGTCATTGCCATGTGACGACCACGCATCATCATCATTGCCATCACCATTGCCATCATCATCATCATCATCAATATGACAGCGCCAGGCGTCGCCAGCGGCAACATCGCCAGCATCAGCAGCAGCAGCATCTGGTTGATGCGCCGCGTCACAAGTTGCATTCCAAGCCGAGTCCGCTTCCAGCCAAGCACAACAAGTCTTCCCTGGACTCTAGCGAGGATCCGCAACGTCCGCAGCTGCATTCGGCGGCAATTGCCATTGAAATTGATGCGGCCACCGTGACCGAGAACAACAGCAGCACAGCCACATCCAATTTCCCGTACAAGGTGGCCAGCGAGGGCGGCGGCGCGCCCATGAATCTGTTGCCGCTCTGCGAGAAGCATCGCCAGCGACGACGCGCCTCCCTCAACTCCAATACGACCATTGAAACGGATGAGCTATCGCGCGACGAAGAGGTAGACGAGGATGATGATGATGATGATGACGAGGACGATGACGATGTGCGTCTGGGTGTGCAGCCCGAAGATGAGGAGCATCTGACGCCGTCAACGTGCGCCGTGCCGCCCAGCAGCAGCTCGAGCAGCACGGCGCGCGCCTTTGCCGGCGCTGCGCCGCCGCGGAACGAGTGCGTCCGGATTAAACGCAAGCGTTTCGTGCCCGATGCCATGCAGGATTATTGCAGCAGCTGCTCGCGCTGCTCCAGCTGCAGCTGCGACCAGGCGCGCACCAGCTCCTGCAGCAGCCTGGACGAGGATCTGGCACACGAGCTGACCGTCGCCGCCGACTGTCATCGCTGCATGACCGAGCAGCAGGCGGGCACCAACAGTCGACCCGGCAGCAGCCTGAAGAGCTTCTGCTCCTGCCACACGAACAGCTGCTGCTGTGGCGTCGACGGCGACGACGACGATGCCGTCCACTTTGCTGGCGATGAGGAGGAGTTTGATGTCGAGGACGACGACGATGATGAGACAACGGGTCAGCGCGAATCGTTTTGCACGGCCGCGGATCACACAATTGTGAGCACGCCGACGCACAGCAGCACCTTGACGCCGCTGAGCACACAGCAGGAGCAGACAATGGCCGAGCAGGATCTGAATGCCATAACCGATGCGGATGCCTCGTCGCTAAGCCAATCAGCCGAATACTTTTCACTTTCCTCCGCAGTGGGCGGCACAGTCGGCAGAGGAGCCGAGGAGCAGGCCGCAGGCAGCAGCTGCAGCGGCAACAACAATGCCAACAAGCCGTGGAGCAAGCATATACGGCTCAAACGGAGCTCCTCGTCGATGGACTCGCATTTATGACGAAGCGTCTCGCTGGTCGCCTGGCCAGCCATCGATGTCAACGCCCTGCTGCAGCAGACCATACGCAAGACCGCCGCGGTGCTGCAGGAGACGCCAGTCAAGCGTCGCATGCCGCTCACGCCGCCCCAGCTGCCACGTCCAACTCCTCCGGCGCCGGGCAGCAACGACAGCTCCTCGGCCACCCTCACGCCCAGCATCATCAGCGTCAAGCAGCCAACCGCTGTGACCACACGCAACGGCATCACCAATACGACAACTCTGCCGGCTGTGCGAACATTGCGCGGCGGCAAGTACTCGCCGGTGGCTGATCCGCTGCAGCGACGCTCCCAGGAGATCATACTCTAGATCTGGACCCTACCTCTGCTTGGCTGTGTCTATAACAGAGTTTATTTTGTCCATCATTTTGGCATTCACATGTGCAAACAATTCGTGAGATGATTTTCTCTATTTACCCAATTATTTAGCTGTTCGGATTATGTTGTTATTCGGGGGTTCCCCAATGTACATTATTTAAAAGTATATTATTTGTGAGCCTCTGGCCAATATCTTTTTGTATATGTGTGTGTAATTATTATTTTAGTTGAACTATTTGAATTTAATGCCTCGACCTGAGCGAGTGTCCCCCTCCCCCAAAACAATTGGCCAATAGCCCAATCATAGTAGTTAGCTAAAGAGACAGACATATCCATTCATTAAAAATAATATATAACTTTATCGTATGCTGCTGGCAACGGGCTTTTGAGGGGGGGAGGGACTCTCCTCTCTCTCTTTGGGGCCGGAAAAACCTTGTTTCCAATCAGTTTGTACAATTTTCTTAGTCAATTCCTCGTAGCCAAGTAAGTTGAAGCATGCATAATTAATGTAAAAAAAATAAAAGCAAATCTCGATATTAAAAAGTTAATAAGAAAAAAGAAGAATACATTTATACACTTTATGGTTTTTCTAGCAGAATTTATTAGCTAAGGCTTTAATTATGTGTAAATTAAAATAAAACCAAAACCACAAACGAATTTATGATTTTCACTTTATTTACTTTAATTTTCTATTTGCAAATTTGGCACAAGTTTTCTTTAATATATGGCACTGCACACACCTACTTATACCTATATATTCCCTTAGCTATATAAAGTCGAATACGTTTAAGCCAATTACTATATATAGCGTATATATACCAAAAGAGAAATTAGTTGATTAAAACAGAAAGCTAACGCAGCCAAATATCTTCCTTGCAATATTGAGATTCCGTTGACAAATGCTACACACTATTTATTAATCAAATATCTAATTTATTTTTAAGCTTAACTATACGTCAAGTGCTTGAAAATATTTCAAAAATATTTAAAACTAAGAATTACTAACAAAAAAAAAAACCAACTCTACGAATAAAAAATGTGTTTAAAGATTTTGCCTAAGAATTTGTTGATTAGTGCGTAGCCGATGTCTTGTTTGCGTTTATATATATATATATATATATAAATATATCGATTCTAATGCTAAAGTTTAAGTATGAGTATCTAAACCATGAGTTGCCGCCTGTTACAGGTAACACACACTTTGTTGGCCACCTAAATGTTTTTCTATCAAATAACTCCAAATGTAACGAATTACTTATATAACCAATAGTCATAATCATAAATGTTCAAACTATACGATCTATGTCTAAATTGTGCGCATTTCAATGTGGAACTTTTTCGTCATCTTGAGACGGTTCTACATATATATACATATATATACACATATATACTCATAATATTATCGTATTACTAAGTATATAATACTAAAGCAATATTTGCATAAAACTTGAATTAAATGAATTATTACAAATATAATTATAGCAACTCAAATTTCTTATTCAAATCGGTAAATTATTATTCCAGTAAAAGATTCAATAAAAATATTACGAGTAACAAAAAACAAAAAATGGCGGGTAAAATTCAAATTCAAAATAACAGCAGGGGCTTAGTATTTCTGGAAGTTTGCAGTTGACAGCTGCACTGCTTGCTTGTCTTAACAGCACGTCGTATTATCTTAACAGGTTGAATATATAAATGTTAACAACAGGGGACCTGTGTTCGCTATGCTCGATTTTTTTCAAGAAACAACATTTTTGTAGTCGTGGCTTGCACAATAAAAATAAGGTAAATTAAAGTATTTAATATATCCCAGAGCAAACAGTTTGCGTGCATTTACCAACACTGCACAAATAGCTTTACAGCTGTTCAACAGTGCTGAGTTTATATCGATATATCGATATTTTATATATCTTAACATGAAACAAAACACTGCGCCTGCTAGCGTTAACATTAATATGTCGTGTGTCGCTCGAACTCAAAACAAAAAAAATTGTTAGTGGTTTTTTTTCGTGCGAGTTGCAGCAACGTTCTGCTAGCGGTTACGTTCGTTTAACTACTAATTATTATAATAAAAAAAAAACGCGACGGTAGTTATAAAGTGAAAACCAAACAGCAATTCACATAAATATTGCACACAAAGGAACGAAATAACAGTCAGCAACAACAAAACCAACAATAATAGTTTAAACAAACCAAAGGTTTTATTTTTCTTGATAAGAACGCGCTGATAGAGCGGCTAAGACGTATTGAAATTGCGACTGGTAAGTGTTACACAGCGAGCCCTAAAAATAAATGTGCGAGTGTGTATGTGTGTTTATGTGTACATATTTGTGGAGCGTGTAAGTGTGTGTGGGAGAGTGCCGTTATCTATCCCTTTGTTGGCCGCTCTGCTCTTTCGGCCCGCAACTGTAACAATTGTCAGCATCAATTGCCAATTATGAGCTTTTGACCCCCAGCCAGACATGAAAACATCTTTTGCCTAGCCTATATTATTCTTATTCAATAAATTCAATAGAGACAACACTTACCTCTCTACCTGCGCAATTGTTGTCATTCACAAGCAGCCTTCTCTTGAATGTGTGCGTATACATGTACATATGTAAGTTTGAGTGTGTTTTTCTATTGCATTGCACTTTAGCTTTTGACATTGCTTTTTGCAACGCTTTAAAAGCTGCTGCATGCTGTCCAAGGGCGTCAGCAGGGGCCCATAGTATATCCGTCAATTCAATGTCAGCTTTTCATTGAACTTGATACTGAAAATTTGAGGGGTTTTTGTGTGTCTGAAGGCTAAAGTCCACGGCCAAGGCTCAAAGCTGTAAACCGGACAGTGCTGTTCAATATCCTACATAAAGTTCAGCTTGAGCTAAATGTATATATTCACCAAGCAAAAATGCAAACCAGATGTCAACACTCCACACACAAAAACAATAAGCCGCTCAATTGTAAACAAACATTTTGTGTGATGGAAAACGAAAATAAATTTTTTGCGAATTTCACAGGCAACCATTTTTGCAAATATGGAGCTGCCAAACTGCTGTTAGAAGGTCTGTAAAGACTCCAGCAATTAACACTATCAGAAATGTTAATTGGTTATACGCTATATATATATATATATATATATATATATATATATATATGTATATATATATGTGTGTGTGTGTGCATATATATATGTATATACGAGCACCTCTAAGTGATTGCACTCTTTGCGATATGTCACAATTACTCGAGGTGTGTTTACAGTTCGAGCATCTTGTGCAAGGGCCGGCTTGGTGTTAGTAACCCAGATGAGGTTTTCTTATCAGCGCACAAGTATAAATAAATAAACATATGCATGTTAGTATAGTTATGTTCGTGCTTTGTTATCAAGAAGCTTGTTTGTGCCCTCATTTAATTATGTAGCTAATCTCAGCTTTGTTCTGCCAAAATTAAACAACAAAGGAATTTAAAACAAAGCTGCACACTAATAAAGCACTATACTATAGATGCGTATATAAATATTCAATTTAATTATACAAATTAATTTTTACTTGTTATTCAATTCCTACTCTTAAAGCACCACAAAGATTAAATATAACTCCTCAGGCTTAGCTATTTGTTGTTGCTTTAAATTCTATTGTATTGTTGTAGCTGTTCTAAGGCCTGCAAATGATATTTGGACATAAAAATACACAATAAACACACAGAATACGCGCCTATTTTATTTACTGCTGACATTGCGACGCCCACACGCGACGTCAAGAAGCCAAAGTTCGCCCCAAATTGTGTGTTATTCATGAATGGAACCGAACGCGTTCCGAAAAGGAATGCGGAAGTGTAAACGAGTGCGAATGAGATAGCTACACTTGCATGCTATCTTTTCTGGCATTGCTTTCAGCTTCAGCTGCCGACTAACTGTTTATATTCGGTACCCAGTGAAATGGGTAGAAAGGGTATGATAAAGTTTTGCAAATGCATGTAACAAACGGCAGGATACCATTTCTCCATTTCTCTTAAGCATTTTCATGTCTAGTTAAAAAGGCGATATTTCTATCTATTAAAAAAATCGATCCAAGCTATCTTTAAAGTATCTTAGATTTCTGATCTTTTTAAAAATATATTACTAACAATTTTCTAGTTTCCATTTCATATGCTGAGTATCACAATTAGTAGGATCCGTTGAATTAGTAGAAAATATTATTTGTGTTTAGGAACTTTAGGATTAAATGAGGTTCTTAAATAAGGCAACTATTGTACTTGATTTAAGTACAAAATTGTTAAGATTATTGTCCTGAACATAAAGTATATTTTTGCCTCTTCAAAAAGTTTATTGAAATGCCTGAATATAATTTTGATGAGGTCTAGCCCATCTGACAAGAATCGGAAAATGGGCACAACAGTTATTCAAAAGTCAATTTAACTAAGTGTTTAGCTGACGGAAGAAGCAGCACACACCTGTATCTGTGTGTGTGTGTGTGTGTGGGGTGTGTGTATTTGCTGGGTATCTTGTCGGGCACTCGCAACTACTTTCTGTTTTATTGGGAAGCACATCATGAATAATCCCAACGGTAAAATGAGGGTTGACTTTACGCGTTGTGCATTTAAATCGGAGTTGATCAGATGGAGCTGAGCTGTGGGGTTTGGCCTAAACATTTTATAATATCGCATAGTAGTCGATTTTACTTTCATGGGCAGCTTAAATGAATTTCTCGATTTACACAGTCGTAAATTGATTATGCATGCACATGATTGCCAGCCCCGCAGACACTCCCACTCCCACGCCCCCCTACCCTCCCCCCCGCCAACACCCAGCGTTTACCGGTGTGTGAGGACTATAAATAGAAAAGGCTCCGCCGATTAGATGAGGTTCATTGCGTTGGGCAGAGAATTTATGAATATTACATGAGCATACGAATGAGTCCAGGTGATAAACAATTTCCATCAACATGAGCCATATGTCAGGCATGTGTCTTCAAGTACCTGTAGTTGTTGTTGTCTTTTGCACCTACCTTTCCTATTGACGTCAGCATGTGGTTCCCGAGAACTACTAGGAAAAGCGCATTGTTTACCGTTAAGATAATGACAAAGGTTAAATTTCTTGCGAAATGCAAAAGTGTAAATTGCATGCTTGCATAAAGGAAAATACTTCTATACTTTGATGGAATTGATTATTTATTCTAGTTCTATATGCGCCTTAAAGAAAAGGTTAAGGACAAAACCAGTGTTGAAAACCTTTAGAACATTTAAAAGATTTTAAAAGCTGTTATTTTCAATGGGAACAGAAAATTCATTGTTAAGACAAACTCTTATTTTTCCCCCCATTAATATAGATGGCTGAAACTCGAAATTGAGAATTATTCCAGATATATACGATTATTTTCTCCAAAGAAAATGCAATAAATTAGGCTTAAAGTTCTTAAATTGGTTCGAGAAAGCGTTTCCTCTCGGCTGGCTATTCACACCTTTAACCGTTTGCAGCTCATCTCGGCCCTAATGGCCCTTGAGACAAAACCCGACCCAGTCCAGCCGACGGACCACTTCACATCTGACACGGGCCATAATCGAACCGCTAACTAACCGAGAGGAGAGCCGCCAATCTGGGGGCCATGCCGCCCATTGCCGTCATCACATGACACATGCGTCAACATGTCGCCCGAGTCCAAGCCCTCTGCATGTTGTTGTTGCTGGTGCTCTTGTTGAAAGCAATTTCATAAATGGCTTCCGCTCGCACAGGACACGCGCAAAGCTGCCATCGAGAGATACATCCAAAGCGTGCATCCTTTGCTCACACCAAAAATATGAGACAAAAAGGACGCAACAAAAAAACATAAAACGGCATATTGTGTTGCCTACTTTCGGGCGCTGTGGCTGTCTCTACGTGCTGAAACCCAGTTCAAATAATATAAACATAAATGAAATTCCAGCGTAGGTGGCGGCCTTAGCTATGGCGCCGCACACAAGAGCGTGTTAAATAAACAGACACACATCAAGGTCAATGGCAAAGCACACCGAGAGCTTTTTGCCACTTACTTTAACGGGCTTCTCGTCGTCCCTCTGAGGGAAATTAAAAAGTGATCCCATTGAGCAGAAAATATAGACTCAACTGTTTTTAGAGAAATCTCTTTAACACGAAACTCAACACTTATTTTTGATAAACATAAAATCGAATTAGATCTCTTAAGCTAGAAGCTCAAACTCAAAAAAACTGATCGCAAATCAATAAAATTTCCTAGTCACTCAGAGAGAAATTAAAAACTGATCCCTTTGGGCAGAAAATATAGACTTAACTGTTTTACTGTTAACTCAACACTTGGTTTCCATAAATTTTGCTAAAGGCTCAAACTCAAAAAAAAAAAAACTGAACGAAAGTCAACGAACTTGCGACACCCGCTACAACAGAGCACTTAATTTTTGGGCATCAGGCAACCAGGAAGCTAAGAATTCAGATTAATACGAATGCGCATGCACATTTTAAACCGTACTTAATTCAATTAGCTTGTATTAACCAGCGAGTATTTATAAATTAAAGAATAAAGCTGAAGCAAGTAGAACAATGGCAACAGGCACACTCACATGCATGTGTGAGAGAGAGAGTGATTGATTGAGGGAGGGTGAAAAAGAGGAGGCTCATGACAACGGCTCGTGGCAGCAGCAGCAGCAGCAACAACAACTACTGATTGCCATGACAGGCGCAAAGTGCAACGCAAAAAAAAAATTGCAAAAAAAATTCACTGTCAAAGCCAAACAAAGAAACTGTTGAGCAAGCAAACAAATGCCCAGCTCGCTCTCACTCACTCTCTCTCTCGCGCTCTTCCTCTGCCGCGCTTCGATTCTCTGGTACCTAGCAAATTGCATACAATTGCTCTGCTGCGCTTTTAATAAGTTTTCTTTAGCTTTGCTTTTGTGCGGACCGGCAACAGTGCTGATTAATGACGTGTACAAAACTTTGCATATCATTTGAATTGCAATTAAAACTCGCCAAAACTGCAACTTAAAATCAATATTCTGCAAATTACTTACGAGTTGTCGTACAAAGAAGTTACTTCTGACATAGTTTTTGTGTGGGTTAAGCATTTGATTTTTTGCTTCCTTTTTTTTTTGCACTTCGTGTTGCCTGCCAGCAGCTTTCATTATGACGTTGTTTCGTGTGCTTACGCTTGTGATTTGCATGCAACAGCCACAACAACAATAAATTTGCATGCCAGTGCAACAACAATAATCAAAAATACAGACACTTATATGCATATAGTATAACACAAAAAAAAAATGAAAAGAATGTTGTTCATTGTTGATATTCCCACGCTCACAATTGATAGTGTTGCTAGACGCCTCAAATTGATCTATTGGGAGTGCTGAAAAGCAGCCTACCGATATATATATATATATATATATATTAATCGATTTATAATCGCTTAATGGCGCATTATTAGAACGGGCTACGCATAGTCGACACCAAATAGATAGAGCAATCATATAAAATGCTAGGGTTTGCCAACTCTGGCTCCCTGGTGTAATTTGCTTAAGGGCACCCTGTATGCGTTTTCAATGCCATTGCAAATTGAACAGTTCAATTAAAAGCTAATTTAACTATAGCGCTGTTTTTAACGGCAGCACTTTATTATTAGTCGCCCACAAGTTGGAACTGATTTTATGACTGCCTGCCCTTACTGCTGCACATGTGTGTGATCTAAAATTATCATTAATATGCCCAGGCTTTTATTTATATTTCTCGACGGGATAGGTCAGTGCTTGGGGAGGGTGCCTTATCGATTTTCGCCAAGCTAGATAAGATTAGATATACACGCCCAACATTCCGCGCCGAGCTCAAATTTCGAAACTGCGAGTCAATTGCCGTCCATTATTTCAGAGCTGTCAAGTAGCGCCAATATAATTAAATTGCATTTAGTTGGAAGAACTGTAAAGAGATACATATATACTCAAAGTCATGGCCCGCATTGTTTCCATTTGAAATGAATCGCAGCTGGGTGCCAAGAGACAATACCAAAATGTCTGGCTAGCCTTAGTAAGCATTTCTCTTGGCCTGCATTCCTCAGCTCCCTTGGCGGGTTTCATTTGTGTGGAACTTGTTTCCTTGTTCAGTTGGGACTTGGCCTGGCGCCTTGATGCCTTTTACCAGTTTCTCTGTTGTCTACCAGTTTATGGTTGAAAGCAAAAGTATATAACTTGCATCAATCTATAAATACTCGTTGAGCAGGAAATATTTAATCGGCAATGAATCGATATAAACCAAAACCTAACTGAACTTCTCTCATCCAGTGGCACGTAATGAGTTTTGTGTGCCATTAATAATAATCGACTTTCAGCTTATATGTGACGTCTGTCTGACTGGCTAATGGTATCTGTTGACCATAGCTGGGGCTTTTGCCTGTCAAGCGATACATCAATCAATCATAATTTGCTATACGACCTATGGAATCGCATCACTTCAGCTGTTGATTCAATTTGCTACAAGTTGTCGACAACAAACAAAATTAGAGAAACAAATTGGAAAGATTACAACACAGAGTTAGGATACATATTCTAACTTCTACTAAAACACATAAGCTTTCGGTTCGATAGTCATAATACTTCGCAAACTTAAACTTGTTGCGAATTTTAACGCGTCGAGCAACGAAAAATCACAAAACGAGTAAAAGCAACTCTGGTTTACTTTTATTTATCGAGTGACAACTGTACTTTTAATGGAAATAAAGGGGGTAAAACTCGTAAAGAAAAATAAAAGAAAGTGAAAAGTAAATCCCCCAACCGAAGGGACTTCAAATGGAATCTCGTAATATTAAATTATGATTTACAAATTATCTCACACTTTTATTTAATTAGGCATTGAGAATTTTGTAACTTATGTATCTCCTCCCCTCCACAGCTTTCAGGCTACTTTGTGGCCCGAAAGCCTGTTTAACCTCGCGGCGGTCCATTTTATAATAACCATAATAATCATAAATACAAAGCATAATACCAAATGCCGCCCGCCCTTGGACATTGCGGCTGGCTGAGCTCCAAGCTGAACCCTGAGTTCCACCTGCTGAACGTCTCCTTAGCAACGGCTAATTATGCGCAAGTGGAACAATTTGGGCTCATGGTCAACACCTAACTGGCACCCACCTACAGCAAATCCAAGCACAGCATCCACTTTGCTGTGCGCCCGACGCAAAACTTTTACCCATAAAAGTTAAAATCCCCCCTTGAAATCCTACGTGCAACCGCCACATCCCGCAACCAGCCCCTCCAGTCTGCCTGGCAACTGTTGGCTGCGTCGCAATAAGTTTTTTATACCCAGCACCCATTCAAATTGAGTAGGAAGGGGTATAATGGTTTTGTGCAAAGGTGTGTTACGAGCAAAAGGACGACAAGCTCGGCTGAGCTAATTTCATCTGTGTATCAATCTATAGAACAATAAGAGTAAGAGATTTAATGTATCATATATATCGTATATCTTTTCGATATCAGCTCCACTTTCCAAAACATGTGTGTCAATCTCTAGAACTGTAAGAGCTAGAGATTTGAAATATAAATTATATTATATATATCTGATATATCATGTATCTTTTCGATATTTACTTCCACTTCCAAAATATTTCTTTAAAAACAAAGTTTCTTAGGCATAACTAACCGAAGTCTATAAAAAGTAGAAACTTCATATTCGGAAAGCTCTTTGGGGCTTTGGTATATACACACATTTGGGTGCCATATTTTAGGCTTGAAAATGTCAGAAGATTTAGATAAAAAAAAACCGCAGGTTTTTTAAAATGACTTACCAATAGTTTTAAGCTAAGCGAAGAAGAAGAAGCTTACGGCATGCGTGCTTATATGTGTGTGTGTCTGTGTCTGTGTGGTATTGTGATTATGTATATTTAAGCCACTGCGTGCAGAGTATCTACTAGTCGGGCACTCCCACCGAAAGCTCTCTTGTTTATATCGTCATCTTCGCTATTTTCCTTTCCCGTTTTTCTTTATGAGCTATTGTTGTCGCTTTTGCTTCGCTCGTACTTGGCTGCGAATATTTAACGTATACACACACACACACACATACATATATGTATGCTGCATACATACATATATATTTTTTTTATCGCTATTGTTTTTATAAGCTTGCAAAATGTTGTCAAGGATGTTGTCCGGGGATGTGCTGGTATTTATAGCTGCCAGTGAAGTGCCTCCGTGCTCTTGGTTGCCCTCGACCAGAGCTGGCGGAACGATATAATCTTTGGCGATTCATAAATAAAAAGCGTTTCAACGTTTTCCATTTAGTCTAGATATGACACAAGCTCATTTGTTAACAGTTAAATAAAAAATACAAATAAATAAGAGCCTAGCCCAACGTTCAACTTGGTGAGGGTTACAGAGTATGCTCTTAGTCATGCAGCCCGTTTATTATATTATTTTTTCATTATCGTGACCTTCACTTACAAGTATAATATGAATTGCGTCCTAGGTCAGGGTCATTTCTTGATGTGCCAAGACTCTGAATAGTGTTTTTCTGAATATAATCATTTCTGCTGGCAATATTTACACATTTCATGAAACTTTCTCACCTGCAATCCACTTATATTCCACGTGCTTATCTCTACATTCCACACATTTATATTTCTCGTTTCACTTTCTCTACTTGCAGCACGATTGATGTTGCACAATAGACAAATTGTATAAGAAGACTGAAGAAAGTACGCTCCCACACACACACACACACACACGCACACATAAATACACTCACACACATTAAACCCAGCGCTAGAAAAACAAAGAACACTGCGAAAATGTCATCACGTTCCAAAGAGAGAGTAGTCACCGCGATTCGCAAGATCTTCCACAAGTCCAGCAACAACAACAACAATAACAACAACAACCATAATAATAACCACAACAACAACAACAACAACAGCAACAACAGCAGCAGCAGCAACGATAAGAGCAGCGATAAAGTCGATGGCGCCGAGCACAGCACCAGCAGCAACAATAATCTGAACAACAACAATGAAGTCGCTGCCGCATCCACAGCCACAGGCAACGCAGCAGCAACTGGGGCAGCAAACGATGTTGCAGCTGCAGCTGCTGTAGCTGGAGGCGGCACAGCTGGCCAGCCCACTCCAAAGAATGCGATCGTGCGCGTCGCCGCCGAGCAGCCAGTCTGCGAGTCTCCGGGCAAACGTCGCCGCCAGGATCACAAGTAAGTCATGATAATTACGAGTCGAGAGATTCATATGCTAATCTCATATACCCTATTCGTTGCAAAGAGTGGCCCCAACAACTGGACGCTCGCTGCTGATGCCACCCGATGCTAGCATACGCTCGCGTCGCCTGATGAAGGAGTATCGGGAAATGGAACGCCTGCAGACCAAGGACGATGCCGTTTTTACGGTAATGCAAATTGAACTGAGCAATATAGAGTATTTATATATACTTAGCTTATTAACCTGGCCTATAAAAACCGTAAAGTTTGTTAAAGATGGATATCCACATTTGATGTTAATTTGATTTGAGCCTAGAAAACTTTATGTACAGTTCCTTTACGTTTTGGTAAAACTTTTCCCATATTTAAATGTTGAACTTTCTATTTCAGGTGGAGCTAGTCAATGACAGCCTGTTTGAGTGGCATGTGCGTTTGCATGTCATCGATCCGGATTCACCGCTGGCCCGCGACATGGTTGAGATGAATGTGCCGGCCATTTTGTTGCATTTGAGTTTTCCCGACAACTTTCCCTTTGCGCCTCCATTTATGCGTGTTGTGGAGCCGCGCATCGAGAAGGGTTACGTGATGGAGGGCGGCGCCATTTGCATGGAGCTGCTCACACCGAGGGGCTGGGCCAGCGCCTATACCGTGGAGGCGGTAATCATGCAGTTTGCAGCCAGCGTTGTTAAGGGCCAGGGCCGCATTGCGCGCAAACCGAAAAGTACAAAGGAGTTTAGTCGGTGCGTCCTTGGTATAGAACAACTGCCTCCTAGCATTTGATTTAATTCGGATTACTTTTCGCTCTTTTTGCAGCCGCCAGGCAGAGGAGTCATTCCGGTCGCTGGTTAAGACACACGAGAAGTATGGCTGGGTTACGCCCGCTCTCGCCGATGGCTAAAGATGCAGTCCCAGATGGACAAGCCCGCCGCTCGCCATAGCAGCTCATGCGTTTGCCAACTTAGTCAACTAAATGAATGCAACTCGATTTCCATTTAACATACACACCGCTCATTACGATACTACAAAATAGTTGTAGGATGCTTATACTGAAAATTGATTTCATTTCTTTAATTTAGTTAAGTAACATGTAAACGATTTCAATTGTCGCAAATGAATACCATCCAAGAGGTAGAAGAGGAAACTAACAAAGAAATTAGCCTAAAATGTAATTTAGCTGTAGAACACCCATGGAAATTACGCAAAAACAAAATAATAATAATAAAAAGAAAGTATTATAACTTCATTAAGTTGGAAGAAACTATTTAAGTTCCACATTACTAATACATATATATATTATTTACAGCATATATTAGTTAATGCAAACTAAATGAAAGCATCTCGGAATGTGTTATTATAATTAGTTGTGATTTTTATTAAGTTAAAAACCAAATTACAGATCTAGCCTACATACATATATAAGTATGAACCTTTTCTTAAGTTTCGCATATAGTAAATATATATATATTAAATGTCTCTATGTGTTTTTGAATTGCCTTTTTAATTAAATACACACACATTATATGCGCAGCGTGGCGTAGCGGAACATTTCAAAATGCGCGCGAACTTAGTGTTGCACAGCGTCAAATCGGACGGCATTGCTGGTCAAGCATATACATGCGACTCGTCAGTCAGAGCCGATCACAATGACGCCACGCATTCCGCTAACAAGCATTTATCAGAAAAATTTGTTGCCTGCCCATTTGGAGAGTTAATTTTGGAACATATTTGTAGTTTGAATGCTGTAAATAATTGTCGCGTATACTCGAACAGCATTATTTTATGCATTGCTGGCGCTGACTTTGCTTGAATGTCTGAACGTGCCTGGTTACCGCGTAAGTGTCGTTACCCAACACTAAGAAAAAACTGAAACTGGCTGCAGAAAATTGTAATCACAGGACATAACTTTGTAAGTAAATTAAAGCATTTAGATAAGTTATTAAGGTAGCAAATGCGGAACAAAAGCTGCCACAAACTTTTGCCCAACTAATTTGTGCAACATTTGCATGCGTTGCTTGTGAATAAGCGGTGTAAAAGCCCAGCAAAAAACTAGCCACTCGCAACGCACGCAGTTGATGCGAAAAAAGATTGACAAGCTGCGACGGTGACGCCGACGACGACGCCGACGTCGACAGCGTCGTTGAGCTGCATTGACGGCCGTATGAGAATTTTGGGGCAAATCCTAACTTGGATCTGCAGGCAAACTGCGCCCCATGAATTTTGAGCTGCCCAAGTGAACCGATCGACCCAAAACTGAACCAGCACACCAGCTGAATGCGAGCGAGCGAGCGAGCAAGAACAAAATGTGTGTGTGTAGCTGTTGTTGTTGTTGATTTTGCGTGTTGTATAGTAACTGTGTGTATATGTGTGTGTTGACAGGCAGGCAGCACTGAAACCCACGAAACATAAAAATACCCACACCGTAAGCGTCAGCAGCCCGCAGCACATAGCAAAAAATAGTAAATACATAGTTTTTGTTATTTTTAGACTCGTTTCAATGGACACGAACGCTAGCAGCAACAGCAGCAGCGGCAGCAACGATGAGCAGCCCAACAAGACACCAAACGAGGCAGAGACGGCTGCAACCTCCGTGCCTATGGATACCCTCGATCCGCCGCCCAGCGGCAGCACCAACTCCAAGACGCTAAAACGCTGCCTCAGCGTGCCCATCATACGCACGCTGCCGGGCAAGCCGACGCCTATGACGACGCGCGCCGCCGCAGCAGCTGCCGCGGCAGCCAAAGAGCAGACACCAAAGAAGAAGGAACAGCAGCCGCAGCAGCGGCCCGAGTCCATCGTCAGCAGCATCGGCTCCAATTTCAGCCTCAACACACTGGCGGGCATCGATTGCTTTGGCAAAAATATACACATACGCTCGCAGCCCAGCTCGCGGGAAGTCTCGCCGGCGCCAGTTTTCAATCCGTTTACGCCACGTGCACGTCGCTACTCGGCCAGCTACAGTCCAGCGCTGAATGGTGCCGGAGCGGGCTTGGGCGCAGCTCTGTGTGTTACGCCGCGCGTCTCACAGCTGCGGCAGGAGGAGTGCGCCGATCTCAATAGCCGAGAGGTGAATCACGAGCGTGAGGTGCATCGCGAAATTCAAATCTCACAGAGCTGGGAGGATCTAACACTGGTGGCGGAGAACTGGTCCTGCAAATCAGATGAATTCTCCAATCCGCTGCAAGTGGTGCTGCCCAACGGCAGCAGCAACAGCACCAGCTGCTCCAGTCCCAGCCCCACAAGCAATCGCGCAGGCATGCGCCTACCCTACTCACCCTCACCGACACGTCGCACATTCGCCACACGGCGCTCCATGTCGCCCATCGCAATGCGACCCTCCTCTCTGGGCCCCGTCAAACGCAAATTCGAGCTGGATGACAACAATCCAGGCGTCAGCAACTGGAGCGTCTACTCGCCACCGCCCCCCAAGAAGATCTTTACAGATAGGTGAGTGCAGGAATCAGTACTGTAATTATCATTAGAAAGTTTTACTTATGGATGTAGAAGCTCACGTATAAGAACTAGAAACAGCCCGTGATATTACCAAATTACCCAAAGATTAACTGAGAGATTCACAAGAAATGGTGTAAACTAGATTCGATTTCTAAAAATGAGGCTCCGGTTTGCATGGTCTAATTGGTTTAAAGCTGTTAGTTTAGATCTCAAGGGGATAATGTCGGGTAATGTCAGTTAGTGGAGTTTGATTGGCTCAAAACCAAAGACCGTGACATGTTCTGTATTGTGGAAGTAGGGAGAGATACCCAAATAGCAAAATAGTTGTAGTCAAAAGCCTGGGCTGCAAGTCGATGGAACAAACTATCGATGGATTTAGCTTTAGCTTATAATCTCTCGGAAAAGCCTTCTTTTTCCACATAAATGACCAACATTTAATTTTTGCCTATTGCAGCCGTGGCTCATCACCTGTATGCCAATCGCCTTCATCCGTGTGTCCCAGTCCCGACTCGGGTACCTACGATGGACGCATTACGCCCAAGCTCTTCATATCGAAACTGTGTACCAACAACAATGCCGGCGGTAATAATAACAGCAGTAGCAGTGGCTGCCCCTCGCCCGTGTCTGCTTCACCCAGCAGCATTCTACCTGGCAATGGCCTGGAGGGCATGTGCCTGACGAGCGGCAGTCAAAGTCAGAGCATCGATGAAGGCATCTCCATACCGGAAAGTGAGCCAAACACTTGTCGCAGTCGCACCTCTTCCATATTGTCGACGGCCTCGTCGAGCAGTGCGTTGGGTGGTCCCCAGCTGCTGGTCAACGATATGGTTGACGATGCTACGCTAATGGATGATGCCAAGAGCGAGACGTCATCGATTGGCGGCTGTTCCACAATCAGCATTGAATCCTCCTCCTGCGACAGTGGCGCCAGGGCGGCGGCCACATTTTTAAATCGCCTGGCCGTTGATGATGGCGGCTCGCCGCTGGCCCAGAAAAGTTTCTATATTAATAAGCAGGGCTTTTCGGGGGCCAAGAAGTTCATTGTTAACCACGAGAAACTGAGCACATCTCTGGACCCCAGCAAGGCCAACAAGCAGGATGTGCAGCAAAAGCTTTAAGCGATCGCAAGCATCGCGCATTGTACAATAGAATATAAAATGCAGCCGCGTATGCCTTATATAATTTGTATATGCTGCTGCGCCATAGTTATATACGTAGCTCTAATCATGGCATCAATCGAGCGTTATTCTAACCCAACACCCAACACCCACCCAATGTCCCGAGCTTTACTTAGTTTGCCTTAGCATTAAGTACTGTACATAATTAAGTTGTTTAACGCCAGATCTTTTATACATTGCATATCATCTGTATAACTTACCCTCTCTTCTATACCCTGTAATTCTTTATATAATTAGCAACATGTGTTTTTAATATGTTTATTGCGCGAACCGATAACCCGATATCTTATGTATATGTCTCATTAGGCCGTTTTCTTTACCAATGCCGTTTCTATAGATGACATATGATACTTATGAAATAGAAACCACTTTTTTTTATATATATATATATTAATATATATATACATTGCTATATTTAGCCCTATTTACGGTACACCTAGTTGTTAGCCCGCTTAGATTATAGTACCAATCCAATTTTGCCAAATATGTTTCTTATATGTATATGTACGTATGTATATGACACGTTTGAAATTCGATCGATTTAAAACGGATATCTGCGTGTATCCGACATTATAAAATGTTTGTCTTACGATCCAGTCAAGCATCGTATGCGAATTTAAATATTTAGCTTCAAGATGTTACTTTAAAATGAACACAAAAACATAATAAACAAGTTTTTTTCAATAGATTAAAGACAAGTGTTATGTCTGTTATTTGCTTATATCAATTGTCAAGAGGTTTTTCAATTGTTGTTTAAAGTATGATATTTTATTTTTAATTGAAATCCTTATTTCTAATATTTATTTTAAACGATTGATTCCTTTTAATATCCCCACTACTTGGGTATTTCCGTTTTAGGTTTCTTAAAAAATTGAAGGGTTAAGATTTTCGAAGAAATACTAAAAAGTCGTAAGGGACAGAGTATGTGCTGTTCGTAAACCTCGCGTGCCTTTAATTCTTTAGAATCATAGATTAATTTTTATGCAGAACACGCCTATTGTAGGGGAACAATTTAATGGAACCTATTTTTATACTCTTGTAAGGGTTATTCTAGTTTTATCATGAAATGTGTAACGCATAGAAGGAGACTTCTCCGACCCCATAAAGAATATATATTCTAAATCAGCATCAATAGCCGACTTGATATACCCATGTCCTTCTGTCTATTTCTATTTCTATAAAAGCTATCGCCTTTGAACTTTGCCTAAGTCAATTGGCAACCGGCCGGATCGGACCACTATATCATAAGCTCCATAGGAGCGATCGGTCGAAGAGTAGGAGATCTTACCTCAATCAATCTCAGCATTGACGAGCTTCACTGTTCTGATATACAAGGGTATTTAATCTTCGGCGGACTGTGCAATACTTGATAGTTAATTTGCGCTCACATGTGTATATAGAATATAAATATATATCGGCTATAGGTTAATTATTCTCAGTAATACTAAACCATCCCATTTCAGGTTAATGTTTATTTTTAGTAATATAAAACTCTGATATAATTACAGCACCGAGCACTGTAGATATGCATATGTATGTATGTGTGTTTGTGTTTATGCATACACGTCCGTCTGGCTCAGTAAAAGTTCGAACAACTGGCCGAGCATTGCTCCCCACTTAGCCAGCGGCAGGCAGGCAGGCACACACTCATGGAGTCTATTTGTGCCGATGCAGAAGCGCACGAGGCGCCCAGGCTGGGGCCGAGTGGGCGTGCGCTGATTTAAAACAAGTTTTATAGCTGCGCTTAAAGTCGATTCGTACTTGGAGTCACGATCGCATCTCGCTCGGTCGTATGGCGAGAGGAGGAGAAAAAGAAAGAATAGCAAACGATGTTGTCGTGTTTGGTACGACGTGCGATCAGCTCAGAATCAACCACCTACGCTAAATACATACAAATGAATGATTGGCATGCCAACCCAAATACATACAACCATTGTAAAAGGGCCCCCTTTTTGTGCCGTTGCTCAACACTGTCAAAAGGCTGACGCAGCCACTACGTACATAATACATACATATGTATGTGCATGTGCGTAGCTTTTTGCTGCCAACGTTGACGCTGACGCCAGCGACCTAACAATAAAACGAATATACAACAACAACAAAACACAACATGGCAAATAATTAAAGTCTGTGGTTGTTGTTGGGCAAAAAAGGAAAAAGAGCGACAAGAAATGGTTGCGCACGGAGCTCACGCTGCTCGGCAGCCACTTCTGCTGTTACTGTTATTGTTGTTGTTCTTGTTCGCATTGTTGTTGGGGCCGCGATTCGCTTCGTTTCGGTCGTGCTTTAATGGAGCTTGCCTCCTTCGCTCCCCCCTATTGTCGGCGTCTGCTTCACTGCTCGCCGTTTGCTGCTCGAAGTAATCTTGAAAATCGTGAGTTGAGTTTTGCGCGACGCTCGCTGGTTTCTTTTTCTCTCACCATGCGCGATCGTTGTTGTTGTTGTTGTGTTGTGTGTGTTTGGGGCCTTGCTTTTGGTTCGCCCTGCGCATTTTCTTTGTTTTTCGTTTTGGGTTTGGTGCTGTGCGCGCCTGAAGAAAAATCAAGTTAACAGCCAACGCACGCAACGGTACAGGGTGTGGGCAGGGACAGGGGCAGCAGCAAAGAGGAGCAGTTTGCCGGGTCGCGAACGCTAGTTTTTGTTGTTTTCAATATGCGCGTACATTAAAAATAAAAAGCCTGCAGCCCGCTTCAACGTTGGCGTCGACGTCGATGCCGTCTTGCCTGTTGCGCCCGCTGTTTTGTTGCTGCTGCTGCTGTGCTGCTCTGCTTGTTGTTGTTGCCTCGCTTCGCTGATTCGGACTGAGCAGCGACTGAGGCAGCGGGCCGACAGAAACTCGACTTTTGGCGTTTGTCGAGGTTGCTGAGCCCGGGCAAGCGAGCTGCGAATCCAGTTTCTTCTTCACTCGGCCTCGGCTAACAACGCGAAACAGCCACGGCAAAAAATCAGCGCCAGTCACAAATTACTTTTCCCTCTTTTTAATTTCTTCTTTTTTTTTGTTGCAAATTGTTCCTCGATTGTTAATGTATTGCGGCAAGGTAAGTTATTATTGTTGTTGATGCTTGCGTAAGGATGTGAATGGCAATTAGCTTAATAAGCATAGCATATGCACAGGCGCAAAGCTCTCTTTACTCTCTCATTTACAGTCTCTCTCTTTTTTAATACTTAGCATGCTCTCTCTTTTCGCTTCCTTTGTTACTCCATTTTAGGGTATGGAGCTTGCGTCCGCTGGCTGCGCTGACTGCTGCAGCGACTGCGTCAGCGCGGCGCCCACTTGCTGCACTGCTACGGGCTGCTGCGATTCTGCCTGCTGCGACGTCAATTGCCAGCTGCTGCCGCCAGATCCCAATAACTATGAATACCACGAGCCGGAAGAGAACTTTGTGTCCATTGACGATGCCAAGATAAAGAGCCTGCTGCTCCAGATTGGACAGCAGCAGCAGCAGGAGCTGCGACGCCAGCAGCAGCAGCAGCTGCGACGCCAGCAGCAACAGCAACAACAGATTATCGAGCTTTTGGACGATGATGAGGCTAGCGTGGAGCAGCCGCCGCCTTTGCTAATTAGTGCAGCGCAAAGCTTAAATCCAGGGAAACGCCTTTGGACAGATAAACAACAAATTACCAAGAAACTGAAGCAGAGACAACATCGAATTGTGGCCAGGATTGAGCTAAGCGACAGTGAATCCGAGAATGAACCGACAGAGCCAGCGCCGAGCAGAAACAGCGAAGAGAATTTGCCTTTGGCTACTGTCAGCTGCGAGCTAGTGGAACCACCGCAGATCATTGAGCTGCCGTCGGACGAGGAGGAGCAGCTCCAGCCGCAGAAACAGTCAACTAAAGCTGCGCCCCGCAAGCGACCACCGAGACCCTATATAAAGAGACGCGGTCGGCACTTTTACCAGTGCCAGGCATGCGGCAAAAAGGTGCAGTCCAATTACAATCTGCGTCGCCACATGATGATCCACACAGGTGAGCCGCAGGTGCAACAAGCGTGTCTTTAACTGAAGGAACCAATCTTCCTTTTGCACTAAATATCCTTAAATGTTCGGTACAGTTCCTATAATTGTATATAGGATTTTTGACTCTTAAAGGAATTCTTGCAGAATGTATTGAATCTTTGTAATCTTTATAGATTAGTTTAAAGCCAGACCTTAAGGACTACTTTCGCCTTAATGTACAATTCAATATCGAAAGATGTCGATATTGTGAGACTAGAAATATTCAGAAATATTCCTTGCCAGCCACCTAATCTGTTATTTTGTATTTTATTTTATCAACCAGGTGAGCGACCCTTTCCCTGTGATTTGTGCGAACGTCGCTTTCGCGAGTTCAGCGACCTCAAGAAGCATCGCCGACGACACATGAACGATCCGCGCTATATATGCATGATCTGTCGCTTGCATCCGCCCATGGAGCAGGACTCTACGCGCTGTGTGGATTGCGAGGGCAAGAATCTGCTCTTGGGTCCGCAGGACTGTGATGATGTGGAGACTGAAAAGGGGCCGGACGAAGAGCCGGATCAAGAGATCGATCAGGAATCGGACCAGGACCAGGAATTTGTCGTGGAGGAGCAGAACGTAAATGAATTTACGTCCTTACCCGTGGCAACCGTAATGGCTTCACGGCCGCCCACGCTGCTGGTAACGCTGGTGCCCGCACCCACGCCAGCCCCACCCCTACCAGTTAGTGCACCTGTAGCCACGCCCACACCCGCCCCGCCGTCACGTCCACCACTGCCGCGCAGCTGCAGCAGCGCCAACTCCTCATCCTCGCTTAGCAACGATGTGGCGCCACGGAGGTTGGCGCGAAATTCGCGCAATCGGCGCTCCTATCCCTGCCCGTTGTGCCAACGTCCGTTTGGCACGCGCCACAATCTCAAGCGCCACTACATGATCCACACCGGCGAGAAGCCATTCAGCTGCAGCAAGTGCCGCAAGCCGTTCCGCGAGTGCTCCACCCTCAAGAAGCATATGGTGACCCATGTGCGCGAACGCTGGTACAAGTGCCTCAGGTGTCCCGCCAAGTATCAGGATTATTTGCACTACACGGAGCACAAGGCGACGCATGGCCAGGACACGCAGCTGGAGACGGACACAAATAATCGCCACAGACAGCGTTCATCTGAGAGCGAGGATGGCGATGGCGACAGCTCTGTGGATGACTGGCTGGAGTGCTGCGAGTGCCAGCTGCGTTTCACCCAACTGGATGCCTATACGGAGCATCTGAAGAAGCACGACCTGGAGCTGTATGGCCTGAGTGTCGACGATCTGGACGATGAGGATCAGGATGTAGATGTGGCCTAATATTGATCAGTTATAGATATACACATTCCATTTGTTAAACTTGTTGCATTCCAAACTTGGCCCTACATTTTCCTTAAGAGCTGAAAAAATTGTACTGAAAAGGAACTTCCCTATGCTGGAATAACTTAATTAAGAATATAAATTATACATATTTGTTATATAAGATGTCTACGCAGAATGCGTAGCTTTAAGGCCCCATGAAATATATTTTTGTACTGCAAAGAAGATTTTATCAAACCCAAAACTACCCGACTATGCTCTATATATATGCTATATGCTCTAGTTGTACATCACGCATAATCAAACTGAAAATGGTGTCCTTTCTGACTTAATATATTGCTGAGAACAGGGGGAGAACACAGGTCAAAGTTTCAATTGTGCAACAGTCGTGTCTTTAAATCAACGAGCTTAAAATTTATCGATCAACTGATCGTAGGCAACATATATTACAACGGTAGTGTTATTTCTAAAGTGATTTTTTTTACTTACTTACCAAAGTCAGCATATTATTTATCTTACCAACAATCAGGTGAGCGACCACTTTTAAAGATCTTCTCAAAAAATGCAAAATCAAAAATTTGGTGGGGGATGTTTCGCGCTCAAATTCATTTCCAAGGATCTATGTATGTATATACATATGCATGTATAAAATCACTTTCTACGTGTTTCCCACTTTTCGCAGAATCCAAGCTTCCTCGTTGGAAAATACACATGCATGTATGTTTTTATATATGTATATGTATGTATGCATGTTTGTATATATATGTATGTATGCATGTTTGTATATATATGTATGTATGCATGTTTGTATATATATGTATGTATGCATGTTTGTTTGTATATATGCGTACAGCCATACATACATACATATGTTCATGCAAACATACATATGTACATACCCACATAAATATATATGTACATGCATACATACATCTGTACATACATGCATATATGTGTACATACATACATACAAATATATGTACATACATATAAATGTACACACAGATATGCAAAAAAAAAACAACAAAAAAGAAACAACAAAAACAAAAAAAACAACAAATAAACCAAAACAAAAAGCACTACACTACTAGCTAAGCATAAAAAACTTCAGAGCCTACTTGAATTCTTGAGAATCGAGGAGTAGAGCACTTGGTAGAAATTCGTTTTATTTAAATTTGCACCACAGCGACAAATAGGCTTGGTCTGCGTTTGATATTAGAAAAAAAACATGCATGCATACATATATACATAAATGCATGCATACACTAACACACACACGACCACCCACACACACATACATACATACACACGCACACAAACACACACACATATATATGACACTTATACGCCTTCGTATAAAATAATTGTATTTTATAAACGTTTTAAGAGCACAATACATGTTTAAGAAATTTGTTTATAATTTACAAGAAAAGTGTTTTGTTAAATCTACATTTGGGATAGTCAAAGCGAAATCTACGGATAATACCTCAAGCAATTATTTGCAGTTCGTCGAGTAGTTTTTAAAAGTTTCTTTAAAAAGTTTGTAGAACTTTTAAAACGTTTTAAGAAACTATCAATAAGTTAATCCATTAAGTTAATAATGGTCTTTAGAAGACAGCCGAGGCTTTACACTGGTTGGATCAAATTCTCAAATAAATTGCGCAGTTGACCAGCCCAAAAGTTCGTTTTAAATTGCGCTAAAGCGTTAAAAGTAAAGTTTAACTAAACATAAATAGGAGCAAGCGTAAGAAAAATGACTAACAAGCGTGCTTTGAGCACTGAACAAACGAGAATCCATTATAACGTGGAAGGCAGCTAACTAGATATCCAAAAGTACGGGCTTTGTTTCTTTGGCACATTTGAAGACCGAACGCATCATTTTGAGAAAGCCCGTATCCTTAGGCTTTTCCAGGCCGCGTTGCACGCGATTTTTCATGACCGAGATGAATTCCTTGTTGCTCAGCTGATTATCGTCTGCGAGGTACAAAAAAGTTTAGAATTCAGTTCTCAATAAACTGAATATAATGGCAAAACATACTGTTCTCATCGAATATGGTAAAGACCACATCCACCACGTGATCGGAGAGGTTGACCATGGCCACAGTTTTGGCCACATGCTGCAGCGTTTGCTGATCAATCGAGGCGCCAGCAATGTGATAGAAAGTCAGCGCCGTGTCCACGTCATTGATGTTGTTCAGGAAGTGAAAGAAGTCGAGATAGTCCTCCTTGGATATGCCCGTGCCATGGTCACGAAAACGACGCTTAACGCGCTTCAGTTTCTTTTGCTTCTTCTTGGGCGGATAGCCGGCATATGCGAGCAGCAGCTCGGCAAAGTCTGCCTCGGTTATATTGCCATCATCATTGGGCTCCTTGCGTTCAAACTCTAGAGAAAGTATTTCGCGTTGCAGCTGCTCCTGAAAGTCCAAGAACTTTTCGATTGTCAGCTTCTCGTCCATGTTGGGCCCAAAGAAGTATGTTATCAGGGCCGAATTTACACCCTGGCAAATGCGGAAAATACTTTTAGTGGAAATCTATACAACAATCAAAGGTATGTTATGTTTGTAACAAATAGAAAAAAGTGTGTGCATTTGCAGGTAGTTTCGATTGGATGCAAAGTATGTGCAATTATTAGTTGAGTAAATGTGTGGGTGAGAGGGGTGTGGTAGCAAAATGAAAGCTTAAAAGCGTTTGTTGTTTTCACATAAAGTACCTTCAAGGACTGTAAGTAGTAGTCAAATAAAGGAAGAGAAGTATGTATATACACAGTTAGACACGCATTTAACGTACACGCGTATTCAAAAGGATTAAAGCCAAAAGACATAGAGAATATACAATACAAAAGATCGTTTAGTATGGCATTCTCAATACTCGCTCGCCCGCTCGCTGCACAGATCTCTTGACGGAGCGCACAGTCCATTCAAACGATAATTACCTTGAATGTGTTCCCTGTATTCGCATGATCCCGATGCCGTGTACCCATGCTGGTCTGCTGGCGCACCAGAGTCGCCACCATTTCAAACTCCTCGCAGTCAACATCCCCATCGCCATTTAAGTCGAACATGCGAAATGCAATCTCGAAGTGGCGACGGGAAACTGTAAGATGCAAAAATACCTTACTATAATAATTGACTTAGTTACATTATTGACTTACTGGAGAGTACGGTGAGCAGAAATATGTAGTCGGAAAAGGTTATGAGTCCATAGGAGCCCAGCTTGTAGAATATGCTGTTCTTTTCCAGTTGCAAGTTTAACTGCTCCCCCACAGACTGTAAGTAAAGAGTTGTAAGAACAAGTGATGCCATTTAAAGCAATTTAAATGTAGTTACCTTGGGATCATAGCGACGATACTGATCCAGACCCAAACCTGTAAAAATCAAATTTCGTTAGGCAGACTGTGTTTAGATGTAATTGGCGAGTAGTTAGTTTGGAGAGCGATGTGGAATTGGGGTCGGAGGTTTTAAGCCACATACCATCGGGTTGTTTCATGCCTGGCGTCATGCTAGTCAAAAAATCGGTTGGTGTCATGTAGACCTCATGGCGATCATCGGCGACCGGCACTTGGATGGTGGCAAAGTAGCGAAATACTTTGTCTGGCGTCGAGAATTGCCTGATGCGATTCTCATACTCAATGATCTAAGCAATAAGCGTTTAGGAAGATTACAATTACTTTTGTTTGTTTGGTTCTAGCTAAGTGCGATCAAAACGCAGGCAGTGCAGAAGAAGATTGGAAATGGAACAGAAATTGAAAAACTAAGCGCTGACGCCAACATAAAACTAGGACGCAGTTATGAGCAGTTCGTGTTAGTATTTAGTCTAGATAAGCCTATAACTCAATTACCATCTGGTTGTTTAATGCCCGGATAGATAGAGCGCAAAAAGTCCTCGGGTGTCATGCATACAACTGTCTGTGTGGCATCCTGTAGACGCACCGTGGCAAAGTAGCGAAAGATTTTATCTGGCGTTGAGAATTGCCTGATACGATTCTCATACTCGATTATCTAAGATGTTTTGTATATTGATGTTGTGATGTGTGTAATGGCAACAGAAAATGTGACGGGCAACATAAAGAGAAACGAAAGTCATAAGAAAACTTAAGTAAATAGGTAAATATTTATATGTACAGCATTGTAGAGTCACAAAAGTTTTTCAGTGGCATCGATTTATGTTTCGCGTACCTTGCGCTCGCGGAAACCAACTTTTTCCTTAATCTTTTTACTATCATGCGGATTCAGGCGTGCCTCATCGTCGTCCGACTCATCGGAGCTGCTGTCGCCATTTACTCCGGCCGCATCGGATGGACGCTGACCAGCATCCGCGTCCACTTTGGGAATGAGCAAGCGTTTCACTCTAAAAATAGATGCATTTTACATATCGATTGATTTTTGTTGGTTAGACCAAGCTACTCACTTGCCCCAGTCCAGCACCGAGATGACAAACAAACTGAGCACCAAAAAGTGAAAATATTTGGTAACCTGGGGAGTTTTCTCCTCGCCGTGACCAAAACGCTTGTGACCGCGCGTCTGCTGCACTTGGATCTGGGACGCAGCACCATCTGCTTTTATTGCCAAAATCGGTTGGTATTTGTTGTTTTTGACCAAGGATGAAATTGTGCGACAATACTGTAGCGTAGGCACTGCTGGACGCTTTGCTAGCACCGCCAGCGCCTGCCGCGTTACCAGAAAGCGCAGAACAGACATTTTTCCAATGTTCTTATTCTAGTTTATTGCGTTTTTGCACTTTTACTTTATGCGGATATTCGCATTCGTTCGAGAACTAGTTAATTGTAAATGAATCAAACCAGTTCAATTTGAGCAATAAAATTCGAACGCTAAACAACACTGAACTTAAACACAGCTGATGCCACAATGCGTCTATTGTTTGGAAAACAGCGAACTGGGTAAAATGTTTGCTAAGCAAACATTGTCTTCCCATAGTTATTTAAATTATTCTAAGCAATGGGTAATTTGATCTAAAATCTAGTTGAGTTTTGCTGCGATATTTATGTGTGTATATTTAAATAGGAGAGCAGCAACAGATTGAGCTGCAAGGCCAGCATCAACAGGAATTGCGCTGTGAGCAGCAACAGAGTGTCAAGCTTGTGGACACAGAGGAGGCGAGTGCAGAAGAGCCGCCGCTGATGGTTATTAGCGCAGTGTATAGCTTGAAGCCAGCGAAACGGCCATTGACGATAAAACAACTAATTGCTAAGAAACTGAAGGAAAGGCACTATCGAGTTATAGCTAGGATTGAGATAAGCGACAGTGAATCCGAGAATGGAGAGGAGGAGGCACCCATCGACAACATTGATAAGAATTTGCCTTTGGCTACTTCTGGGTGCGACCTGAGGAAATCAGACCAGATCATTGAACTGCCGTGAGTTCAAGTTCAAGTAGCGCTATCAGTAGAAATAATCAATAAAAATCAATAATCAATAGCTAAAGTAAATGTACAAAATATTCCCCATATATACGACGTCTATTTCCTAAAAATAGCAATAATCCCAGATCACCTTCCAACTTGTACACTGTTATTAAAGCGTATGGTAATAAGGAAAAAATATATGTTGAAAAATATTTGTCCGCATTTCGCATGCAGTTTCTGAACTACGCTGCCATATCGAAGCGATATGGCAACAGTATGGCAGCACAGTTGGTAAGACAACAATATGGCAACACAGTTTTCACAAACTACATGCAAAAAGAAGGCAGCAACTTTTTTTTTTTAAATTATACGTTATTTATTACAAATATTGCTTTAATGGGTATAACCAATGTTTTCATTTTTTAAACTACAGAATATTATTTAATATTTAAACGCTTAAATATATGTCAATTTAGATTTTGTAAATAAAAAAAATTCCTTAAGAGGCAGTTCAACAAATTTTAATTTTTTCTTGGGCCTGAGATATATTTCTTTTTTGTCTCAGTATTAGAGAACTTACATGGCCAGTTGAATAATGTCTGCCACACGCTATCAGTCGTCGGTAATTTGTACACTTCAGTTCAGTTTACTTTCCAAATAATGATGGAACGGTGCCGCAGCTCCAACCGGAGCTTTGCTTTTAGCCTTTTACCTAACATTTATAACAATATGTAGTCAGTAACTTGTATTATCAATGTCATACAGTTGCCAAAGGCCATTAATTTGCTGCGCTGACATTTCGTGCCAGGACACTAAAAACTTTAACTGATCCGATTCAGTGCCTCTGCTGAGCAGGAAGTTAAGTTCTTCTGGGCTCAACACATACGGCGTCAGGTCTGTTATGGTAATATTGCTGCGCTTGGACAGCAAGCCGGTAACGAACACATCATCCAGTTTAAAAAAGCTGGAGCGTTGGGCGGCCAAGTAGAGCCGCCTGACGACATCCGAGGAATAGAAAACTGCAAAGCCTGGACAGAAGGGCGGGTAGTAACGACCGGAGTATTCCCAGAAGCTTACGCGCCATTTGGAGGAATAGGAACGGATCACACGGTCTCTGTTCCTAATGGCACATAGCAGCAGGTTCTCCGATGGAGTCTGTTCTAAAATTGAGTCTGTTGGGAATGGAGATCTTAAATGCTCCAGCAGCTGCGGCGTATTGAGGTAAATGTCATCATCCACTTTGACCAGCAGCTGGGCCTGTTCGCAGCGCGTATGGAACCATTTGAGAGCCATCACATGCTTGTAGGTCAGGTTAAAGTATCCATCCAGAAAGTTGCCCTGCAACAAGTCGCCATGACGTGTGTGCTCCGCCAGCAGCATTGATTGCATCGCATCATCTCCGACGGCGCCGATCAGAAAGAAGAGGCGCAGCGGAGAACTGGTTGATATAACGGACGGGCTGCCCCATGTCCGACGTATCACGGACCGTTTGTCAATGTTGAGCGGCGCCGAGTGGACCATGATGAGCGCCCGGGTGTGAGGCTTGCAGGGCGGCTGCTTAATGACATAATCAAAATCGTGTAAATCGATCAACTGCTGCGGGTTTTCACTGTACGCAGCGGAAAGCTCCACTGTGGTTAGCTGCTGTGGCACAATGCGAGGACTATCCGGCATGAACAGGTATATCAACAGGCAAAATATTGCCCATAGAAATAATGAAATGTTCGAACTGGCTGCCAATAGCTGTTTAATTTTCCGGTACATGTGGAGAAAATTCGCTGGAGTTTTTTATTGTCCGGTGATCTGAACGTTATATATGTTAAATGATAACTGCCAGAAATTTTGGTTGAATCCCCGGCTTATCTGTCCAGTTCTCATATGCTTCAGATAACATAAACTCATTTTTATATTTGATAAGAGCTGATAAGATGAGGTACATATGTCAGAATTCCAAAATATTGCTCAAAATTAATGTAAGCTACAAATACTTGTTGCTACTTGGGTTAATGTAATTCGTTTTATTTGTGAATATAAAAAGGTGTTGATATAATTAAGCAGATAAGCATTAAATTTGTATTTCGTTTCTATTGGTTAATTTTTATTTTTTTGTTGCGAGCAAACGTCAGAGATCTGTAATTTACACAATAATATTTGTTATATATTAAAGTTTATTTTTATTAATATTTTTTTCCAATTTTTAACTTATTTTTTTAAATAATTGGAATTTAACCAAGTCTGCAAGTATCCATATGTTTTAATTCAATTTAATTTTTATTAATTTTTTTTTAAATTTTTTCACTTCTTTTTTCAAATAAATAAAGCCCATGAATTTAATCAACTCTGCAAGTTTTAATATGTTTTATATATTAAATTTTATTTGTATTAATTTTTTTTTAATTTTTTAACTTCTTTTTTCAAATAATTAATATGTTATATAAAACATTTATTTTTATTAACTTTTTGTCAATTTTTTAACTTCTTTTTTTTTTAAATTAGTATCTATTTTGTTTCCACAATCACGCACAGTAAAAAATTCAAATTATGCAATCAGTTATATTCAACCACTTACCAAAAAGACAATTAAATATATTGTTATCATTTTAGAACAAAAAAAAGTGATTAGACTCCACAGTATATAAATTCGGGCCGCACAACGTAGGCCTTGGAGCACATGTGCTGTCTTCAGGGATTTGCCAAATGGCCTTGTCGCAGCTCAATCAAGCAATTACCTGCGAACGACAGGTGGTTTTAATGAGCCCCATCAATATGCTGAAAAGAATTACCTATTTCCAGCGCCCAGCCAAATTATTGGCGAAGCAGGTCACAACTAAACAAACAGACATCTGGTTTAATTAAATATGAATCGCTGAAAATGTTTTTAGGTTCAAATACCTTGAACCCTCCACGGAATAAACAAGTGCTCTTCAATATTTTATTACGTTCGAGTGTTTAAGAAACATTTCACTAGGCAAATGTGGAATTATTCCGATCGGGAAATTTAAAAAACGGATGGAAACTTGCTTCTTGGCAAAAGTTGTTGTAATTAAATTTTAACAGTAATTCCATTCTGTGGAATTATTTCTTGCCTCTTTGCAAAAGTTGTTGTAATTCAATTTTAACAGTAATTCCATTCTGTGAAATTATTTCGATCGTGGAATTGAAAACACGGATGGAAACTTGCTTCTGGCAAAAGTTGTTGTAATTAAATTTTAATAGTAATTCCATTGCGTGGAATTATTCCAATCGTGAAATTGGAAACACAGATGGAAACTTGCTTCTTGGCATTAAATTTTAACAGTAATTCCAATCTGTGGAATTATTTCGATTGTGGAATTACAAAAATTGTTGTAATGACATGTTTGAGGTGCATAAAACTGGTTTATTTATCCATTAAATATGAATATTAAAATAATGAATACGTATTTATACGAAAACCTAAGTGAGCCATATCATGCACGCGGGCTTTGAGCGCTACTTCAGGGTGTTTACTAGTCAATAAACTTACCATTCATTTATCAAAATCAAGATGCTTATCCTGTTGATAGATTATGCCATGACCATGCTGTTGCAGCATAATTCCGAATAAATGGGTGCCCAATAAATTTGGTGGCCAGCTTAAAAAGCAGCTGTCATAAATTGGGTTTTGTTATTGTTATTCCTTGTTGTTGTTTACTATATAAACAGCTGAGTATGTGCGCCAATTTACAATAACAACACGCCGGACAGACATGCACGGACAACAAAAAGCAAATACAAGCTGTTGACTCCGCCTCCTTCTCCTCCTCCTGCTCCTTCTCCTCCTGCTCCTTCTCCTGGGGCCTGCTGCCCACTAATAAGCATTAATGGTCAAATGAGTATAGGAACGATTGGGTGCCTGCATGGGCGGGTTTCTGCCCGGGGGGGTGGCATTTTTTGTCCACGCAAAAATGTTGTTGTTTCCCTCCATAAGTGGAGCAGGCGAAACGGACGGACAATGGCGCGCATTCGGCATGTGGCAGGCGAGCGTTACGGACGTAAATATACTTATAACACATTGTTTAGGCGTTCCGTCAAATTTCGACGTCGAGTATATGAAATTGCAAGGTCTGACGAGAATGTCATCATTGTTGTTGGGCTGAATGATGGGCTGCGGTTCGTCCCTGGAGACACCGACAAGTGCTGCCGCGCAGCGTCTACAAGAAAATGGCGGCCCCAACCTAACGGTAATTTTCCAATCAATAGACCTCGATAGCCGAGTCAATTGCTTCTTTTTTTTTTATGTTTCCAGCATGTAACGCAGCAATATGTGCGTCTGGACGAGCAGATCAGCAAATTGGAGGGCAGTTGCCCGGGTCCGCGCATGGCCACCGTCGAGGCATGGATTGAGCATGTGCAGGCCAGGCGCGACGCCATGCTGGGTCTCGAAGGCATGGAGCACACGGCACGCCCAACAACGGAAACGGAAACAAATGCAGAGGGCGAACCGGAGGCGCCACAATTAAACAGCTACCCCTTGACGTTGGGGAGTGGGGAGCGCGCGGGCAACGAAATTGTGGCCAATACGCCCACCAAGGACTTGGCTCAGGTGAGTAGCAGCCGACAATTAGACGCTTGGCACCATGCTTGAGGCCCTAATTTGTGCTTGCCATTGGAATTATAATGGCTGTGACCTCGTTCTATAATTACCCGTACGACCCTTAGCTGGCGCATAATCTAGGCGTCATTGCTGATCCACGCAAGGCTTCCATGCACGAGGACTTTTTTGCCAACCTGAGCGAATCGGCGCTCTACTTACTAAGCATACGTTATTATGGCGAACTCCTGGAGCACACCAAGCAACGCCTCAAGACACTGGCCGCCAGCTATGCGGAGCTGAATGAGCTCTATGTGAATCAGGATGGCATTATTGCTTACATCAGCGGCGGCACCTATATGACGCGCCTGGAGGAGAGCATAGACGAGCAGCTGGAGGTGGCGCGCGATACCCGGGACAAGCTGGGCAGCGCCCTGGAGCAGTGGCGCATCTGTGGGCTACTACTACGGGCCGCGGCCAACTCCTCCACGCAGGCCCTAAAGCAGTGGCGGCATCTGAACAGGCACATGTGAGTAAGTCCGCAAAGGACAAACCATTCATTTTCCATTTCGCATTATTATTATTTGCTTTTGACTCTATTTTAATTAAAATGTAATTTTCTTAAATTCAGTTAACATTTCAATTCCATTTGTTCCGATAACTTCGATGAACATTCAACAAGTTCGATTAACGATAGGCGGGCAGCCATTTTGATTTTGTTATTACTCCAAAGCGGAAATGGCACAAATGTTAATTTAGCATAGATTTTCTTTTAATTAAGAGAATGTATTTTTCAGCGATCCCAAGCAAAAGCTGCAAGCAGCTTTGGACTGTCGCAGTCTGTTGCATGCATCGCTGACGTCCCTGGAGGCCGCGCAATTGGCACTGCCGCATGTGGAGCTCAAGTACATGAGTCATCGCCAGGTGTTGGCGGTTAATCATTGCAATACCTATTTAATTACAGACATAGCCAATGCAGCGCGGTAAGTTCCCTGAGCCGATTTTTCTCAATTTCCCATTTATACCATTTCCCCGACAGTTATGAGCACACGAGCCGCGTCTTCAGCAGCTATGAATCGAATATTTCCAAGACATGTACCTGGCTCTATGATACATTTAATAAAACACTGCGCGGCGACCTTGACAAGGCGGAGGAGACGGTGCGACGCTTGGCCCGAACACTGCGCGAGCATCGCGAGGAGATTTTTAGTGCGGCACGCAAATGAACAAATTTTAAAAGACCATCTATTTTTCTAGCTTTAAAAATTTACAAAATATTTTTTTTTTAATATTGCTTACACTAAACTTTGTTTAAAAATAAAAAGTTTTGAAACTTGATCAAAATCGATATGTTAACGGAAATTTGATTTTCAGAATTACGCGCCGATTAAATCGATAACATTTATTTGAATTATTTCTCCAATCGTAGACGGTTTCAAAGCAACAGAATTAATCGCGCTGTTATTAACACAATGTTAAACTAACAGCAAATTAAATGCACACATTTCATATTATTGTAAATTTTATTGAACAAACAAGGTATGTCTAGTACCAGTAGCTCTTGGCCGGGATGCGGTCCTCCTTTATGTCCATTTCCTCCATGATATCCATTTCGAATGTGGATAACTTTGGCTGAAAGGTAATCTCGCTCACAACGGCAGCTGGTGTATCCTTTTCGCGCTCAATGTAGGCTTTGGGTGTTTTGTAGTCATGCGTTTGGTTATTTGTCTCCGGAATGGGTATGATGCGGCCCGAACGCATCGAGACGCGTACCTTCTCACCCTCCTCCGTGAAGCGCCACTCAAACTCGGTGCCCTGCAGATCGGATGGATCCACTAGGCGTATGTCTTTGGTAACATTAAGGGGCGACTCGGACTTTATGATTATGCCGGGGAATTCCTTCTCAGCTCCCACGCGCCTATAATGCCAATTGATGCCCTCCACAATAACCCAATTTCGTTCGGGTATTACCTGAGTGACAATGCCCTGCTTACCCTTATCCTTGCCGACAAGCACTTCAATACGATCGCCGCGGAAGAAGCTCCAATCCTCTGCACACACACGCACACAAATGTATGAATAATGGGGCAGCATCCACAAGATACTATTTCACTTACCAACTGGCTCCATAAAAACTTTTCGTCGCATCGTGCCCGGCATATTCTGTTGCCGGAATTGGCCTGTCCATGACCGATTTGTGGTATAGCGATAACGCTTTCGTTCAACCGTACTTGGTAGATAATTTTTTTCGCGTGGTGTTTGCCAATATACCTGAGAAGATTTAAACATTAATACGGGAATTAAAACATGCACTTGCCACCGAAGCTTCAGCTGTTACGTGAGCTGCCAAATGTTGTTGATTAAAGAAAAACATTTTACTTGCCTGCTTTTTACTGCGCTCTATATATTCCTTGGGCAGATTTGAAAAGTTTTTTAATTTACTAGCTAAATATTGTGTTATACGCATGTTTCTTTTATTTATAATTGCAATTTATTTACACAGAAAAATAACTAAGCAATGCGGATCAAAACAGATGTTTGGCCATTGACAGTCACAGTGACTCGGCGACATTGGAGATGGGTGTGACAATAACAAACTATCGTTGCATAATTTTATTATTCAGAGAAGTTATCGATATTCCGCGTCCATAAAATACGCAAAGAAGCATCGGCACTGGGATTTTTCTTGTGCTATTTACCTGAGAGCGATGCAAAAAACCGGCTTATAATAAAAATAAGGTAATGCTAGGCTATTTAAATGCATACACGTGCCAGTGCACAGTCATTACCCAGCGCACCGTTGCGCGGACACCAACTCTTAATGAAAAGACGACGACGCTTAGTCATAACCAACACACTCAGACAAACACTGATAAAGATAAACAATAGCAAGAGGGAAACAAAATAAATATAAAATGTCCTACCATGTTGTAGATATGACGGATCCCTCCGAGCTAGAGCCCGTGCTGCACTCCAAGCATGCAAAGAATCTGCTGCGCTTTCTGCACTTGTTGCCTGCGCGAATGTCCTCGCACGACAACACCAGGTAAGGACCTTCAATATTTGTTTACTTAGCTAATACAATTACTTATACTGGCTTTTAATTTTTGAAACAGGAGCACTATTGTGTTTTTTGCCGTCTGTGGCCTCGATGTGCTCAACTCGCTGCACTTGATATCCCCACAGTTGCGCAAGGATATCATCGACTGGACCTACGGCGGCCTTGTGGTGCCACGCGAAAACGAAAAGCGACGCGGTGGATTCATGGTGAGCATAAATACTTGTCAGTCAGTCAGTCAGTCAGATACGATTGATAAACAAACTAGCCAGGCAATGCCAAATAAACACAAACGTCTCTGTCTCTGCCTTTATCTATTTACGTGGCGCTGCAGCAGCCACTGCGACAAACGCTCCGTTTCCCATCTCAAATGCTGATGTTATAAATTACACAGATATAAATAACAACAACAATTGCCAAGTAAGCTGCACAAGTTTCTTAGTAGTTGTAGCTTTTGTAAATCAGTTAGAATTCTGAGAATTCAACTAGTGTTTATTATTAGTCGATGTAGATTTTGCTTATTGTCCAATCCGGATCCGAGGCGGATTTGAGTTGTGGTTAAAGAAATTCCTTCTATTATTACAACCTTTAGCACACTTAATTAAATCCTTCTTAACCAGCTTTTTTGACTACAGGGTATAAAATGAATTTCCATTTACCAATTCATGCTCGCAAAAATGAAAACCGGGAACTGGTCTGTTTGGTTTTACATTGTTCGCTGTTTCTATAATTACATGGTCATGCTTTGGCCCAGCAGCATCTCATGGGCTGGAAGCGGGGCAGGCTGAAACGTAACCCTTATCACATTTTTATCACGTCAAGTGCTTTTATCAGCGCAACATGCATAACCACTTTTAGTGTGCGCTACAAGCACATATATATTGACAATAACAATTAATTGTGGGCTATCTTTTACAGGGCTGCCGCGCCATGTTACCGAAAACGGAGGACGCTGAGCTGCTGGAGTGCATGCGCCAGTATCAATGGGGTCATCTTGCCATGACATATACCAGCATCGCAGTGTTGGTGACACTGGGCGATGATCTGTCGCGATTGAATCGACAGAGCATCGTGGAGGGCGTGGCGGCGGTACAGCATGCGGATGGCAGCTTCAGTGCCTCCATCGATGGCAGCGAGAATGATATGCGCTTTGTGTACTGTGCAGCCACCATTTGCCACATGCTCGACTGCTGGGACGGAGTGAACAAGGAGGCCATGTTTCAGTTTATAATGCGCAGCCTACGCTACGACTACGGCTTCAGTCAGGAGCTGGAGGGCGAATCGCACGGCGGCACCACATTTTGTGCGCTGGCCGCACTGGAGCTGAGCGGACAGCTGCATCGCCTGGACGAGACGACGGTGGAGCGCATTAAGCGATGGCTTGTCTTTCGGCAAATGGATGGCTTTCAGGGGCGACCCAACAAGCCGGTGGATACGTGTTATTCCTTTTGGATTGGCGCCGCGTTGCGCATTTTAAACGGCTTTGAGCTGACCGACTATGCTCAGAATCGTGAATACATACTGAGCACACAGGATGAACTAATTGGCGGCTTTGCCAAATGGCCAAAGTCCACGCCAGATCCTTTCCACACGTACCTGGGCCTATGCGGTCTTGCCTTCATCGGTGAGCCGGGCTTGAACGCTGTCATGCCCAGCCTGAACATCTCCATGGCCGCCTATGTGCATCTCAATCAACTGCACGAACGCTGGCGAGCCAACAGCAGCGGCCTTACCCATGACCTTACCCAGTTAAAGCTGTCCGTGGGCAGCAACGCGGAAGCGGCCACAAAGACTACCTCGAGCTCGTCTCTGATATCAGCACAATGATGGGAACTGCACACAATTTGTATTTGTACGCTTATTGGTGGCTATTTTTTGAAAACGCTTTTTAAATCTGGTATTTAAGTAAAAAGTTGGAAACATAAGCTGGATTTTAACGTGTATAAGCAGATTGACCGGTAACGCAAACTTGTACCTTTAACAACAAGCAGCTTGTTTTTATGGCATCAGCAACTTTAACTAATGATTTTCAATATTTAAATACAATTCTGCTTGTTACACCAATTAAGGATCATTCTTTCTTTTCAGCCAGAAAATACTAGTTTCTATATTGTACTTGTATAGCTTAAATTAATTTTAACAACTGTAAGCTTAAGCTAAACAATTGTATTAAACTACGTCCATATTTACAAAGATGTCACTCGCTTGACGATAGCCTCAACAGCCTCTGAGTTATTTAGTTATCTCATACCTGCAGGTACAAGCGATGCTGCAGCGCGGGCAGATTGTAGCCCATGCTCGGCCGATCGATGTGCATGCGTCCGCGCAGGGGCGCCAGCACGCGTTCGGTGACCAATGGACAACGCTGCACCATCAAGGACTGCAGCTGTGGGCAGCTCTTGGTCAGTGCACTGCAGTCGACAGGAGGAGAGAGAGAGAGAGAAAGAGTGGCATGGAACTAGTAAACAAGAAAATCACTGGGATAGAAATCGTTTAAGTTGTAGGCATTGTGCGCATCCTGGCGTGGACGTGGTCGATCAATGTGCACCCGCTGACGCAAAGGCGCCAACGATCGCTCCGTGATACGATGGCAGCGTTGGATTCGGAGCGATTGCAAACGTTTGCAGTGCACGCTGAGTGCGCTGAAAGAGATGCAAATGCAGAGTATTGTGTGCAGTTGAGTCGCAGCCAAGAGACGCCACACACAAGACACACAAACACCAGTGTTGCCAACTGAATCGAATGTTAAAAAGGCCGTTAAACACAGCCCAGAGATTTAAAAATGTTATGCAATAAAACAAGCACATACTGTTCTTAAGTGTTTGAATACGTTAATATAGCTAATTAAAGTAGCTAACTCAGTGCAAAATGCCAATTATGTCCAGCTGACGGCTTTTGAAAATCGTCACATAGCTAGAAAATAGCTGAATTGGCAACACTGACACACACGCATGCACTAATTCATAGCCAATGAAAAAACGGTACTTACTGGACACCATAGTCGGAGATGGCGGCACAGCCAATCAGATTAATGTGCTCCAGCTCGCGACAGAAGTTGCCAATCTGTATGAGCACCTGATCCGTAACGCTGGGCGTGTTGGCCAGCGACAGGACGGTCAGTTTGTTGAGCTTGCGAAAGAAGATTATCAGACAACGTTCGCCAATGGCGCCGCAATTTGAGATATCAAATTCCACCAGTTTGCTCTGATGCAGCGTCAGAGCGTCGACAGCACCTGTGGTCAGCCACTGACATTTGGAGAGCTTTAAGATGCGCAGCTCCTTGCACTGGACAATGATGGGCTGCAGGGACAGTGCCGTTATGTTGACGCATTCGTTCAGGTTGACGGCGAACAGTCGCTGTTTGTTGTTCGCCAGCAGCGGCAGAAGCAGCTCATCTGTTAGCCATTTGCACCTGGCCAAATGCAGTTGTTCCAAGCGACGACAGCAGCGCGCCAGGACCTTAAAACCCAGCTCAATATTGCATGTATTGTTGCCCGACAAATGCAACTCCTGGTGCTTTTCCAATGCTGCCTCCGCCAAGCGCAATGCTGTGCGCGAACAACTTCGCAAATTGAAGAGGTCCTTGACTGACAGGTAGATGCACATTTTTGGTATGAGCACATCATCCCAGCTAATGTCAAATAATGTAAGCTCTCCATCGTTTGGCCTTAGCATTGGCATTGGGCTAGGCGTTCGCGTTCGGATGCTACTGCCCATGGCAGCCAAATGAGTCTCCTCCTCGATGTGAAGCGTGCACATTTTGTGTTCGATTACGTGATAGCAATCTTGCCAATGGCCTGATTAACAATTCTACGCAACAACCACCAAGCAGTCAATGAATGTTGTTTACATGCAAACAGCTGATTCCGCAGCCGCCACAAGAGCAATGGCAATTGGAAGATTACGCAGCTGCAGCGACAGAAACCTTGAATATTGTTCAGTGACGTCACACGCAACACAAAGGAACGACTAGTAAAAATATCGATATATTTCCATGAATGAACAAAAAAAACGAAACATCGTCAAAAGAAATATTGAATACGTTAATTTTGCAACTGCCAAACAAAGAAATAGATTATTATATCAAATGCAAACAATGCTTGCATATTTGTTGTCAACTTTTCAATTAGTTATTTTTCATATTTCAGCGACACTTTTCTTATTAATATTATTATAATTATTATTTATTTTTTACACTTGTGTGGTGCCACATATTTGTATTTGCGTTTAATGTTTTAATAATGTCTATTTAAGACCTGGGGAGCTCAGTCCAATTAAATAACTGAGCAGCATGAATATTTTCTTGAATGCATTTGCACGGCTTTACAACGAGAACTAAAGAGTGAGAGCACAATACCGCAAACCCATGCATTACGTATACGCAGTGGTTACATTGACGAAGACATAAAATGCGAGCGCACTTTCTACGATGCCAGCTTCGTTATTTTGTTTATGGGAAAAAAACACATATTAAAGAAAAGTTTTGACGCGTCGGCAAATTTAGAATGCGTATTGCAATCATATAACATAACTATCAAAATGTCAAACTTTGCCGCCAACCGTTTTTATATATTTCATGGAAGTCTACGGTCCTTCGCTTGTCGAGAGCTTTCTGTGAAGTTAATTTTTAATGAATACTATACTCCATTACATTTGGAAGTTACGTTTGACAGGTGGTCAACTATTACAATAAACTTTTTCTGCGATAAAACTTCAAGACGCCAAATTTGTAGCAAAGTTAGTTAAGTGGATTTTTAAACAAAATGAACAGGTGGTCAAAACAGTTCGTAAACGACTCGCGGTCAATAAACAACATGAACGAAGTACCTGCATATGCCATACAAGCTCGGCGCAAATATATTGACTTATATACGGAGGTACAAGCCTGGCTTAATGCGCCTAATCTAAGCGCAGTGGAGTCTCAACATCGCAGAGAGATGCTCCAGTTGCGTCTGCTAATGCTGGACAAGATCGATGAGGAGTATTACATTAGGCGCTATATAAAACTACGCACGCGCTGAGCCAAAAGCATTTAAAACAACAAATTCTTTATAATTATATTATTATTACTTTTTATATATTATATTGTTTAATCAGCATTTGCGGCCGACAAACTTTTTAATGTTTGCATAATAAATGTGATTTTTTTTTTTTCGTTTTGCTTGTTATTTTTATCATCGCATAATTATAATAGTAAAATAAACATAATACATAATAGTGATAGTGAATTCTGATTGATTTTCCGTCTTCGTTCCACGCTCAATATAGAGTTATACATAATAATATAATATTTATAGGGTATATGGTATATAAATAGATTTCCTTTCACTTATTTAAAAACTTAGTTTTTGGCGCTAATGCAAACATTTGCCCGACATTTTCTTAGAGATTACAAACAAAGCTTATCGAATAACAAAAATAAAACAAAAGATAAACAAACAATCAACTTTAGTATAAAGGCTGGAAGTTAATAGATAAATTCTGATGCATCGGTTAAAAAAACTCAAAATAAAAATAAATATTCCAGTTCAAACAAGTTTGCAATGGGGTTTATATTAGAATAGAATTGGAAAACAAAGACTTGTTGGCAAATTAATCAAAACCAAGTAAAGGAAACGACAGCGGGCTTATTAGTTAACGGTTTTACCGCTGCTGCTGATAGATAGGAATGTTATTCTTGACGGCATCGTTTTGCATATGATACGCTGGCGCCGCTGCTGTTGCGGCTGGTGGCATGCCACCAAGATGCGCCATCGACATGGCGGCCATTTGCTGATGTAGCTGACTGAAATGATCGTTGTGATTGTGTTGTTGCTGCTGTTGTGGTGGCTGCTGTTGGGGATGTTGCGCTTGTTGCTGTTGCTGTGGCACCATGTAGCTCTGTGTAACTGGTGGAGCTCCGTTTGGTGCAAAGAACTGTGGCGGCTGCGCTGTAGCGCCCGCCGGTAAATAGGCCTGCGGTGGCGCCGTCTGTTGCTGCTGTGGATGTGGCTGTTGATGCTGTGGCGACATGTAGGCATGTGGCGGTGGTTGATGTTGCTGAATTTGTGTGGCTGGTGGTGGTGCGGCAGCAAATTGCGGCGGAAGCGTCGAGGGCGGCATCTGCTGCTGCTGCTGCTGCTCAACAGGCATTGGCATGTGATAATTAGAAGGCGTTGGTTGCTGCTGCTGCTGAGTGGTGACTGGAGTGGGCTGGGCATTGTAGATGGGCTGTGGGTGACTTGGATGGGATGGCTGCGGAGCCACAGCAACTGCAGGCGACTGGGACATATGAGGCGGCAAAGCTGCAATAGATCGTTATAGCATTGGTAAATGATTCAATGATAATTAAATTAATTATATTACAATTTAACTGCGGCGCATGCCCGTTTTGGTATGGCATGGGCACTTGTCCCGGATAAGCCGTAGTTGTCGTGGGTGGAGCTGCATTATTAGGCTGTGGCGGTGTGTACGGCATTGAGTGCATGCCCGGATAGGTTTGGCCTGGCGGGAAGCCAGCAGCACTGGGATAACCAGGTGCGCCGTAGACCGCAGCTCCCGGAAAGCTCCCAGGCATATATGCAGCGACGCCGCCAAACTGTGCAGCAGCTGCACGATCATCACGCATGAGCGTATGATATAGATTAATGGCATCCACCAGATCACTGGAGAGCTGTGTTAGCTGTGCATGCTTGCGATCGACACGCTCCAGCTCGGCATCAATGAGCGGTCCCATTTGATGAACCTGCTGCTCCAAGCGCAACATTTCGTCACTATCCTGCGAGGGATCCTCGGGATTGGCCTCATGCAATAGATGCAGCAAACGATCAATTTTGGCCTCATCAATTTCGACGGGCTGTGCGGCAGCCGCTTCAGTCTTTTGTTGCAGCAGCGCCTCCTCCTCCTCGACGGCTGCCTGTTTCTGGGCATTGTTTTTGTGCTGCTGATTGATGTCCAAGCGTTCGGGATCTACAGACAAATCGGCAGTGACAAAATTGGAGGGAAAGAGACCCTCGCCGCGCTCATTGTAGCCCTTCCACCAATTGGCATCGCTGTCATCCAGCACGTGTATGATTTCTCCAGAAAAGAAGGTCAGCTCATTCTCCTCGGCTGCTTCAAAGTCGTACAAGGCGCGTACAGTGCGAGATGAGGCGACGGCGGCGCTGCCACTGCTGGGATTTCCATTCCCGTTGCTTTGCGTGGGGGCAGAGCTGCTACCAAACGAGGGATATAACGAGGGATAGGCACTGCTGGTTGTTGGAGCAGCTGCTGCACCGCTTTGTTGCTGCTGCTTGGGGCTGCTTTTGTTTTCCTTGAGCGACAGCTCTATGGCTTTCGCTATATCATCCTCTTCCTGCTGGCTGCTGACTACATTTGGATCCTTGGCCAAAGTAGCGGCCGCCGCTTTGGCCGCTGCTGACTTGGCGCTGCTTTTATCGTTCAGATTGCTAAAATCGTAGCCCTCGCTGCGCAGCTTGGCATACAGCGAAGGTATCAGATTTAGTTCGGGATCATTCTTGAAATCATTCTCAGCCCAGTTCTTCAGCACTTGACGCATTTTCTGCAAAACAAAATCGATGAAATTTCGAATTTCTAGTTCCTTGCTTGCCATTTACCAATGAGACTTTGGGCTGTGCTTTGGTCAGCAGGCGCCTAAACTCTGTCTCAAAGTCACGGGACGCCACCTCCAGGTGGAACGGCTTGCCGCAGTTGTTGGCGCACGCATCCAGCAATGTAATAGCCTGCATGACGACATGGGGATCGGCATGGCCCATGCGCCGCATCACCGCCTTGAGGCAGTCTTTGGCTAGACGAGGATTGGTTGTCACCTTGTCGCATACATCCATTATAAAGGACCAGTTATCATTCGTATTCGTCTCGCTCGTGGCCTTTTCTGTGGAGTGACCGCAAACATTCATAAGTTGTATGACAATTATCGGCCCTAGCCACGCTATCAACTAGTTAAAACAACAAATAGAGCAACGACTTCGGTTGAAATACGGTTCTATTTGCTTATCATTGGCAGGGAAAGAATCAGCATGCTGACTCAGTGTGATAAGCGTGGCAAAGAAGCAAAGCAAAATCAATAGAATATACAGCAAATTGCATTAAAATGTGGAGCAAAAGAGAAAACCCAACAACGAATAATGTATACGCTTTACAAGCTTATCATGCAGCAATTCATTTCGCAAAATGGGTTGAACTTTGCGCTTAGATTGGTTTAATTTAAATAATTATAGGTATGTTTGCGTAATTATTGTGCATAAACAGAATAGAGATCGCATTTATAAGAATAAGAAGCCGTACATACATACATATATGTATCTGGAATAACTCTATTAACAGACCCCCCGTGAAGAGAATTAGAATGCACAAATTTTCTGAACTACAAGGGGTGTCCGGAGGTGGGGGGTTGGGTGGTGTCGCCGACTTCAAGGTCAGCGACTGCAGACAAAATTCTTAAGAAGTTCAATAAACAGACGCAGCAGCTGCGCAGCTTCCCAACAGAGCGACGCATGTGACTCGGTTTTGAATTCAGTTTTCTTTGTGTCTGCTGAGCGCTTAACGAGATGACAGGGGGTGGTTCGAAGGCAAACAGATAAGATAAAGCAAAATAGCAGCAGCTGCTAATTACAAGCGGGCAGTATTGCGACCAATTGGACTTGTCATTGTTGGGTCATGGCAGAGGGGAGAAATTGGGGGCCGGAGGAAGGGATAGAAACTTACCCACATCGGCGTCAAACGGCGACGATTGCCCAAATATGCCCATCTCTTTCACCAAAAGCGCACTTAGCTGCCTATTAATTATTTGGGTAATTGTTGTAATTCTGTTTAATTATTTCGCTTATTTTATGCTTTTCGTTGTTATTGTAGTTGCACTTGCACTTTTGTGTGGTGTTTTCGTCTGCTACGCAATCGATTTTCATGCGTCACAACAACACACATACAGAATCCCGTATATTCTTATATTTTCCCTAATTAGGCAGCTGCCAACACGATGCTGACGATTTAATGTGACTCGAAATTTTTGTAATTTGCATTAGTTAAATCGAAATACTGCAATAAAATTGCTGAATAATCACTTGCACCTTTTTTCTTTTGCTTTTGTGTAAAAAATGACTAATGAATATATCGATGTTTGGCAGCTATCGATGTGTAGTGTCAGTTTCAGACATCCGATTAAAAATGTTTTACAAATATCGTATTGCTTTTGCAGTCTATCGTATGTACAATTAGCCTATCATGCAGACCTCACACGTTTTTCGCGATTTATTGGACAACAATGGCAATAAAAGAAAATATAGCGTTTTTATATTAGACCCATTCAGTTTTTTTTTCCAATTGATTTGCTTACAAGCTATGCTGGGCGAGAACCTAACAATCTGTGACGTGTGTAGGACCGATCAACTATGTCTGTCAACCAGTCGTATCGTGTATGCCCACTATGAGGCTTAGGGTGAAAAATTTGTAATCGAAAAATAGCAACAAATAAATGAATGAAACTTTTTGGAAGCATTAAAATGAGATACTAAATTATACTGACCGTCACATAGCCATCGCAAGTGAAAATTACTAAGTGTGAAGTGTTAAGAGTTGCTGCCAGCAGCTGAGCTGCAGTGTAGCAACTTTAGTGTTACTGGGTACGTTAGATGGAAAGGGGCAAGGGCTGAGATAGCTTCGATTTGTAATTCAATTACGGGCACACACACATAAAATAAAAAGCCGATATTGGACATGGTTTTCATACGCGATCCCTGTGGCATTGTCTGCCTGATTTTCACCTATGGCGCTGTTATCTATGCGGATTATGTGGTCATGCGCTGGATTATACTGACAACCATGCCACTGAGGTGAGTACCTGTCTTGTCTTGTGATGACGACTATATACTGAAGTTTAATATTTGGGTTATAGTATCTGGGCGCCCTTCCACGTTGTGCTCTTTAACACGATCATCTTCCTGCTTGGCATGTCGCATTTGAAGGCAGTTTTCTCAGATCCGGGTATTGTGCCGCTGCCCGCCAATCGCTTGGACTTCTCCGATCTACATACTACGAACAACGGTACAAAACAGATATCCGGCAATGGCCATGGCAACGAATGGACTGTGTGCACCCGTTGCGAGACCTACAGGCCACCACGGGCCCATCATTGTCGCATATGCAAGCGCTGCATACGCCGTATGGACCATCATTGTCCGTGGATCAACAATTGTGTGGGCGAACGCAATCAAAAGTATTTTCTGCAATTTCTCGTCTATGTGGGTATTCTTTCCCTTTATTCCATGGCGCTGATACTCGGCTCTTGGGTATCGCCCTGCACGGAATGCAGTCAAAATGTAATTGATTCGCAGCTACGCATGTAAGTTCTTAGTCTCGCTTTCACAATTGATGGGTGAATTGCTGATTGAAAAACTCTTCCTATACTTAGGATTCACTCCGTCATATTGCTGCTGGAATCGGCGCTGTTTGGACTGTTTGTGACAGCAATAATGGTAGATCAGCTGCATGCCATTTTGTACGATGAGACGGCCGTTGAGGCGATACAGCAGAAGGGTGCCTATCGGCCGAACCGACGTAAATATCAACTGTTGGCAGATGTATTTGGCCGCGGCCATCCGGCGCTTTGGCTGCTGCCCTGCGCTAGTCTAAATCACGCCGCACGCTATCACGACACCCCGCTGCTCAGCCACGATGTTTAGAAGGCGTGTGATAAATACTATTATTTTGTATGTATTATAAATGTATTTTATGTACGCGAGCGCGTGTGCGTACTTGTGACAGTCCCACAAAATCATTTTCTTTTTTGTTTTATATTTATATCTTCGTGTGATTTCTTTTTTATCTACAAAGTTCTGAAGCTCCCACCCAGCTGTCCCCATAACTCTTACCTTGACTCCAAGCTACAAAATTGCTTGTGTGTATTATATGCAAATTCCAATGGCTAATTAACACTTTAGTTAATAATTAATTATTGCACCAGGCGAGCCAAAACATACTCAACAGAAACTCAATATTTTTTTAAAAGAAACTAGTTTTTTCATAAACATACGTAGATCAGATAATTAGCTATATATAAATATATAAATGTGTGTAAAAAAAAAACAGATAACAAACTAACATTCAAGCATTTAAGAGCAAACAAATTCATATACCAAAAACATAAACATTAATGCCAGGCAATTGTGTATGCGGTAATAGCTCGTATTATTTATAAGGCGTAATTAGTTTGATTGTAAACAATGCAAAATATGTTGTTTTAACTATTGTAATTTTTGTTTATTCGCTTAATTTTATATCGGTCAAGTTCAACATATTTTAATAACAGTTCGATTTATGCTGGAATGACACTCGCAATTAAGTGTGAACACTAGCCTGTACGAAAAATGCATATTGAAATAATAATAGTAACCCAAAAAGAGTCGTGCTACAACAATTATACGTTTATAAATTTTACAAATTTTTTGATACCACATTTCGAACAATATGTTAACTTTTTCAATTGTCCATTGAATTTGAAAACTAGCAAGTGTCATTGCAGCTTATCCAACTGAAACTGATCTAAAGAACGCCTTAATATGCAATTATGTAAAAAGCAAAGAATCCAATTTGAGAATTAAGCGAATTGTTTCTATTGAACAGGCAACTCTCTCGATGGTCTCAAGAAGCCACAAAGCCAATACATATGCGTATCCTCAACTATGTGTATAGTTTGCAATAAATTTAATGATATACATATGAATAAGTACAAATTGATTTCGTTTCCACTTAGTCCAGTTCGCTGCCCAAGCCCTCTACGCTTATTGTGAGCTGTTGGAGCGCCTGCTTGGCCACACCGCACAGGATGCCCTCCTGTGACCGTTGATCCTCATGCTGCAGTATCTCTACGCACTCCTTGAGTAGATCAATGGCATCCACTAGACGGGCACGCAGCTCGCCGCCACTTAGTTTGCTGGCTATGAAGCCGCTCTTGGCTAGCAGCACCAGCGGCACATGCAGCTCATAAAGATTCATAGCACGCGCGCGACTCAGGCCCGGCTCAAAGATGTTCAGCACACGTAACACCTCTCGGCATAGCGACGCCTTTCGCTCCAGCAGCTGATCCGTCAGCTGGACCATCTCATAGCCCTGCACGCGGCCGTACATCTCGATGAGCAACTGCCGCAAACTGGTGGCTATGTAATGCGATGGATGCAGCAGCGATTTGTATTTGCGCAGCAAACGTTCCGATTCCTCCAGGCGCTTTGGACCCATTTCGAGGGCTTGTACAGCATTCACCTCGGCCTGCAGCGCGGCAACAATTTGCCGTACCTCCTCGCTGCTTGTGCTGTGGTCGCAGGCGCGGCAGTTCCAGCTGCTGTTCATAGCTGCAAAAAAACAATGGAATGATGCCGAAATGAGTTAAGCATAGTATTAAATTGTGGCTAATTGTTTGAGCTTTGACCTTAAAGTAATATTAATTGCATTTAGTTGATACGGGACGTAATAGAAAGCGGAACGTAGCCAATTACCCGTGGGATGCTTGGGCAGCAGCCAGCCCTCCGTGCACTGGCCACACTTCATGCTGGAGAAGTGTGTCTGCAGTTCGCTGGCATCCAAACAGCGCTCACAGCTGCATGCGAAGTATTTGCCCTCGCGCAGATGCGCCTGCCTTTGGGCGGTGCCATCCAAGGTGTAGGTATAGCTGTGCTGGAGCTGTTGGCCTGCTTCCAGAGCAACCATAGCACGCAAGCGAATCCTGTAAAGAAAAAATCTTAGTCTTGGCTCCCGTTTCCCTGAGTAAATTCCAACTCACTTGTAGCCCTCGCTGGGATGAATGCTTCGCGCCGTATTGGGCACACAATTGTGGGCCAGAATTCCCGTGTATGGATACAGGCAACGCAACGGATAGCCCTGGCTGGTGCGTGCCTCGAAAGCATTGACTTCCAGCACGCCCACCACTTGCATGATGAGCTCCTCGCTGAAACGTTCCGCCAGCTTGCAGGGACCGCGCAAATATTGGGCTATGTTTACCCGATCCGCATGCCAAACATCTGCATTCTCGCGGCGTGCCTGCTCATGGTGCTCCATGGGCGCCACCTCGTTGATCCAACGCTCCGGCTGTGCTTCCTTTGCCAGCAACACTCTATAGCGGAGAAAAGGAAAACAGGATTAGATAAAGGCATGATATACAGTTCCTTGTATTGGAAAAGATGAATCGTATATGATTTCAAGAGATTTCAGATAGACATAATTGTTTACATTGCAGTTTAAAGAACATATAAATTAATTATTAAAGTGGATTGTTGTTAATTTATAACAGCTGTTATTCATTTAAGGTTTTGTCTTCATGTTAGCGTCATGCACTAACATATGCACAAATGTTAGCGTCACTTTAACATTCGCTGGTATGCACATTCATTTTTGATGTATGCATGACAAAAGTTGGCACAATTCTTGAGTAATGTGTATCTATTTTTATGCGTCTGTCTAACACCTCAGTGGCATGATGCAGTCCAGCTGGGGCCAATGCAGGCTGCCGGCGGGCATCTCATAGAAACGCGCTTTGGCCAACTGCAGCACGGAGCACTCCAGCTCCAGATGTAGGTTGGACGCATTTCCATCACAGATGCTGCACAGGGGCCAGCCACAAAGGGAGCAGCGCTCCTGAACATCTGGGCGATAGCAGGCGAGGCATAGTACATATCCATTGCACTTGGGGCCAATGGCAAGGGGTTGCTCCTGCAGCAACAGCTCGCCGCGCTGCACTGGCTCGCTGGCAACCAGATAGCGCCCATAAATGCGGCTCCATTCGACTGCCGTGCGATTGACTTCGAGCGCCGGCGTCGCTGTCATATCGCTCACTGACATGGGCCGGCACGATGCGCACACAGCTCGTCATCATTCGAATAAATTTTGGCAAAACCTCAAAGATGAACGGCCGCTGACTTGCGTACATTAGTCGGCCAGCTGGCCAAATTGTTGGCCGTCGTTCAGCTGGGCCATTTGCGACTGTCAACATTTCTGTGCGATTTTGAGTTGTGTGAACCGCTCACCACTTGCCCCGTTGGCACCCACAAACTAACCTCAATGGTGTTATGCAATCTAATTGTGGACAGACGCCATCCTCGCTGACGTTGCCGGCAAATGTGACACGTGCCGCGGCAAAGACCTCGCACTCGCCCCGATGATCATCAGCATCATCCATGCAGCTGCCGCATATAGGCCAGTCGCACAGCTCGCAGCGGTCCAGCGAGTCGCCGTCCTCGCCAAACTGCAGGAACCGATAGCAGCCCAGGCAAACAATTCCACTCTCTCGCTTAGGGCCATATGCAAAAGGCAGTTCCTCCACAACAATGTCGCCACTCTCCACTGCCTCTGATGTGGCCAGGCAACGGCCGTAGACTGGGTCGTGTTCCAAGCGCGCTTTCAACATGACGTCGCCGCTGCCGCTCCCAAATGCGAGATTTTCATTAAATGCAATTGAGATTCGAATCTAAATACAGAGAACGTGAGCTCTCACGTTTTCAGCGAGCTTCTGGCGTAGCTAAAAATAATACACAACACAAGCATTCTGCTCACTGACTTGATGCATATGCATTTTTACTTTAAATAATGTATTTATTTTAAACAAATCATAGTTGTAATTTTTTAATTTGATATTATTATCTGCATTTAACGCCTTCAAATTTTTTAATTAACGGTTTAATAATCGTGGACAGTCAGTTTGGCGCTAAAACCATATAGATAAAAAAGTATCGATGCTTTCGCCACAACGTTGCGTTTTTCGCGTACGGATAGTATGCAAATCAGAAACACTATATTGTAAACGTAAAAATGTATATTAAATTAATGAATATGGGCGTTCATAATGCATTTTAACAGTGGCTTAGTATATAACCCCATAAGAGCAAATAGCATAAAGTTAAAATAAACAAAAAATATTTAAAAATTATTTTGATTTTATGGGCTCATGGTAAACACACAACAAGTAATGTGAATGTGCTCCATTTCGTTTCTTCTTGGTTCAGTATATTCGCCCCCAAAGAGAAATCGTATTTTCGCCATTTTTTATGCTGGTCACACTGACATTCAGTTGCAAATCAATTTTGTGGTGTACGTTGTGTGGTCGTGGTCGTCTTGTTCCTGCGTTTCGCATTACTTTAAAATCTAACTAAACTCATAAAAAGTAAGTAAAACTTATCCAGGACATCAAAATAATCTGTCCCGGTTTCATACAGATCAACTGTGCATGAATATCCGTATGTGTAAATGGTTTTTCGTTACAAGTGATTTCATAACCTCGAAATGAAAATTTTGCAAGCAGACACGAAGCCCTCACACATATACGCACACACACATACACCCAAAGGGTTTCCATCGTGTTTATGCGGTTGTGCGAACTGTTCTTAATATCAATTAATTGATAATGATTTTGTGTCCATTCAAATAAATAAAGCAACCGGCAGACAAACACATGGAAACACCAAGCGACCATAGAGTTTTACATTTGATTTAAACGATGGCAGCTGCCGGCAAAGAGTACTTTCCTGTTACGTAACATGTTGCCTGCGTTGTGCTGAAATTTGTTTTGATTAATTCGGAACCTACCTTTTGGTTTCTTTCTTGCTTTATCACATGCATCTGTCTGAGCAGTTTTATCAATTTTAGCTTGTTAAACTTTTGCTATTTGCTTTATTATTGTTTTGTTTGCTTTTTGGCCGCTGGTCATGTGAGCAGCGAGAGGAGCAACTTTACATTTTATTTAATTTGAGTTAGGGGTGATTGTGACATCATGGAAAATCGATAAATCGCTTTTTATTTGTGACACCTTTTAGCTGGTGCAGTGGGTTTATGCTCGGATATAAACTTGTTTTTTCTGGAGAGTGTTGCGTAACAGCACACGCCCACAATCAAAGATGAAAACTCAGCCATGGCACGCAGAAGCAATCTACTTAGGCGAATAAATTGTTTATGTTATCTACCGTGTCAAGGTCGCGCTGATGAAATACAAGTACCCAAAGCGAAATCAAACCGAACACACCTTTAACTACTCTGCTTTCCATCCTTTTGACCCATTACATCACGACACATGTACATATGTATTTTTTCCGCGTTCATAGTTTTTGCTAAAATTCTTTGTCTTCTCTTAGCCGGGAAAGCGCATGATTTCACACGCCGTCTGTATTTCTTATGTTGTTGGTCATTTCCGTGCCGTTTGGCCGCTGTCCAATCTCGCCAATAATAAAAGATTTCGCTTTTGCCTGCCTTTCATATTTTGCCGCTGTCTTAGAACATGTATCATTATTTACGCCATGCCTGTGAGCTGTTAGCGAATGCTTGCATATGTGACGTCAAGTAGCTATGAGACCAAAGCAGCGATGTACTGTCTAGCTATATGTACATACGTATGTACATATATATGTATGTTTGTGTGCACGTCAAGTGGTCATTGAACGTTTTGCTGACAGTAATTAACGGAACGGCAGCAACAACAAAGTGTAAACAGAGATACAAAAATATGCTGCACAGTAGGCCAAGTGATAACATACTAGGTTTAATTGAATTTTTTAAGAACTATTTGCGAAAATTATTTTTTTGAAAAATGAATGATCACGGCAAGAAGTATTGGACTTATAATGTTTTGAAGGAGAAACTTAGGCGCAAGGAGGTAGGCTGAGACCGCAGTTACATACACTTTCTATACATACACAATTTTGTGGCTGTTGAAATTACTTGCAATCTTTTTCAATCGACTGTGGCGCACGGTGCGTCATCAATTGCACGATCACTAGCATTTGCCTCGCACGCTCTCGATTTTACTCATCCAATCACCGAAGACGTGCGTTGACCCCCATTCACACAGACACAACACTCATGCATTATGCGATAGAGAGTAGAGATAGTTGTGCAGTTTCTTTGCCAAATTTGGGCACACTTAACAAGTGAATACACTTTTCACCTTGAAAACCAATTTCGTTTGATTTCTGTTTGGTTTTGCTGAAGAAATTGACATTTAGCCAAAGTACAGTAAAAATATCTTAAAAGTTCTTTCACTTTTATGTTTATTTTTAAAAATGCAACGGAAGAGAGAAAGCCGCAAATTCGCACTACTCAAATAGTTGTTTAATGGTGTTTATTACTGTGCAAATATTTGCTTTTATGAAATGTTTGTTGCCCAATTGTGTGAGATAAGATAAGACCTGCTAATCTAATCTTCAGTTTCACGCAATTGCAGACTAAACATATGAAATTGTTCATTATTATATGTACGTGCAGACATTTGTACATTTTATTTATTAATGTTATTTGACTATTAACAGATGGCACCTCCATCATACAGCGATTTGGGCAAACAGGCTCGCGACATCTTCAGCAAAGGCTACAACTTTGGCCTGTGGAAGCTGGATCTGAAGACCAAGACGTCGTCGGGCATTGAATTCAACACAGCGGGCCATTCGAACCAGGAATCAGGCAAGGTCTTCGGCTCTTTGGAGACGAAGTACAAGGTCAAGGATTATGGCTTAACCCTGACGGAGAAATGGAACACAGACAACACTCTCTTCACTGAGGTGGCTGTACAGGATCAGTTGCTCGAGGGCCTCAAGCTGTCGCTGGAAGGCAACTTCGCGCCACAGTCGGGCAACAAGAACGGCAAGTTCAAGGTTGCGTACGGTCATGAGAATGTCAAGGCCGATTCGGATGTCAATATTGACCTGAAGGGTCCCTTGATCAATGCCTCTGCCGTGCTGGGCTACCAGGGCTGGTTGGCCGGTTATCAGACCGCATTCGATACACAACAGTCCAAGTTGACCACCAACAACTTTGCCCTCGGCTACTCCACCAAGGACTTTGTCCTGCACACAGCCGTGTAAGTAAACTATTAGCCATTTGATTTAATTAGCTACGATTGTTTATATGTTGGCTATTTACTTTGTGTTGCAGGAATGATGGCCAGGAGTTCAGCGGCTCAATCTTCCAACGCACTTCCGACAAACTGGATGTGGGCGTTCAGCTGTCGTGGGCCAGCGGCACCAGCAACACCAAGTTCGCCATTGGCGCCAAATATCAATTGGACGATGATGCCAGCGTGCGCGCCAAGGTTAACAATGCCAGCCAGGTTGGCTTGGGCTATCAACAGAAGTTGCGTGATGGCATCACTTTGACGCTCTCCACGCTTGTCGATGGCAAGAACTTCAATGCCGGTGGCCACAAAATCGGCGTTGGCCTCGAATTGGAAGCCTAAGTTAGTTCAAGATAAATAGCTGAATGCGCTGCCAGCAATATGCATACAGTACTAAATACACCCAACAACAAAAATTAACAACAAATATAACAGCAAGAACAACAAGCAACAAAAAAGAAACAAATTAAAAGTGTAACAACAATAAAACACAACAAAAATTAATACACAAAACACAAAAGAATCTTCATGTTTAGCAAAGCATTTGCCAACAAATCGGCCCGGGATCGGAGCTTGATATCGATCGTTGGACGTAGTCTTGTTTAGTACATAGCTAAATACATATTTATTGTTGGCAAACAGTGAAATACATAATTTACCTATTAAAACAAAACGAAAAAAAAACACAAAGTGTTAAACAAGCTCTGCGTTATTTTTGCACAGAAGTTAAGTGAGTAAAGAAAGCACCAGATAGAAGGCAAACTTTTTTCAAATAAATACATTTACACTGTTGCGGTGTGCATTTAAAATTCAAATCAGGAGAACATTTATTTCGAACTGCGGTCCTGCTAGCCCATCGAAGCAACGTCTCGGATATTATCGTCTGGCTATCGATCTACGCGATCTAAACGATTCAGGAGAGGGGGAGCGGTAATTGAGTTCAACAGCTTAACCAGATTTGAAGTCATGTTTGATTATGGCGTTAAAAGGCAAGCTTCCAGAGTTTTCAAATTTAATCAGATTTATTTAGGTGGATAAAGAGTGCTGCTGTCAGCATAGCATACGTTGCCTCACATTTCAATAGATGATAGCCTACGACGAGTTACAAACAGAGCTGAATTGTTTTCATATTCAAAGAAATTCTGGTGATACAACACAACTGTTAATTTATAAAATTCCGAAACGATATAATTCGCCTCAGCTCTACAAATTATTTATTTGGCTAAAAATGGGGCCGCCTGTTTATACTGATTTAGGCAAATTAGCCCGCGACTTATTTAGGCGAGGCTACCATCCTGGTCTATGGCAGTTGGACTGCAAGACTATGACCAGCTCTGGCATCGAGTTTTTCACGACTGGCTTTGCCAGTCAAGATGCCAGCAAGGTGATGGGCTCCCTGCAGAGCAAATACAATATAGAGGATTATGGCATAACGCTTACTGAACGCTGGAACACGGATAATCTACTCTATGGCGAGATTGCGCAAAAGGATAAGTTAGCCGAGGGCCTATTGCTGGCATTGGAGGGACGTTTTCAGCCATCATCGGGGTAAGTATATTTGCAATATATTCCCACCCATGCTGATCTAGTAAATGTCTTTGTTACGCAGAGACAAGGAGGGCAAATTTATGGCTCGTTATGCCCAGGAGAGCTATAACATTTTAGGCAAAATAGATATCAAGTCAGACCCATTAGTGGGTCTGTCATTAGTGCTTGGTCACAAAGAGTTTTTGGGCGGAGCTGCCGTTGACTGCGATATAAACGGTGGCAATGTAGCCTGGAAGGTTGCGCTGGGCTGGACCAATGAAACAACTACGCTGCACGCAGAACTGTAAGTGTATGTAAAACTATTCTATTATGCGGCTAATCTGAACTTTTTGCAGAATAAATGCTGAGGGCTGGCTACTCTCGCTATTCCACAAGGCTAACCAACAAATAGATGCCGCTGTTGAGATCGGCAAGCCAGTTGCAGCGGAAGCAACCGAGGAGGGCCAGGAACCGGTAGAGAGTGAGTTGAACATAGGTGTGGGCATGATCTATCATTTGGAAGGTGACGCTCTGATACGTGCCAAAATTAACAACAATGCCGAACTGGGCCTGGGATACCAGCAGAAGCTACGCGAAGGCATCACCATGTCAATATCAACTGTTCTCGATTGCAAAAATATCACCGAAGGAAATCACAAGTTTGGCGTTGGCCTTTCCTTGGAGTGTTAACAGTTGTCCCTATCGCCACTAAATTAGTTACTATTTTTATTCTGTTACCATTTCGCGGTTTTAAATTGATGTCCTGTTATAGTGCTGCATATCTGCGAATGTGGCAACTAAAACAAGTCAAAGATACTTCTGAAAAATGGACGTCTTCCCTCATTATTGGAATCAGTCAAATTGCATAATTTTCAGGTTGAACAATTGAAGAATCATTCTTTTATCAATCGATTTTTGAAGTTATATCTTTATGGAAAATATTGCAAAGGCCGTGTTTCTGGTATTTCTGGCACTTTGGCCCGACTCTTAAAACCAAATTATAGTAACTTGCCGCTATTTTCAATTTGAATCAACCGCACTCCACGTTTAAAGTTATATTTTACAAAATGTTAAAAAAAAAATACTTAATCCATAAATTAAAAAACCAAAAGCTGAAATAAACGCTTCCCGCTAAATTTATTTCAGTGTTGACACGTATACTTTATCCCAGAGGGGTCGACGTGTGAAACATGTATAAGGTGAATCTTTCATGCAACCGTTTTCCGCCAATTTTCCACAATTGCGGGTTGAATTTCCAAAATCGCCGAAACATAGTTCTTTGTAGCCAATCGGAGGCAACTTAAAAATAAGCCCACAAATTCTTTGAGCAATTATTAAAAAATACATACACCAGGCATGCATACGATTGTATTAGTTTTACCTATTTTTTTAAATATGAAAAGTCTTAGTTATTTTAATGATACGTACCAAAGCCATCGCCACGGCCTCCTCTTTGAATTTGCCTTCTCTACTGTCCTATTCTCCGTTTGCTTCGTGGTTGAGACCGCCGACGTCTTCTCTAATATCAAAACCACCTCCTCCTTTGCTCACGTTATCGTTTCCTCCAATGATAAGGCTGTCGCCTCCTCCATTACTGAAGCCGCCGTTTCCTGCATAGTTGAAACCGCCTCCTCTATAGCCATCGTCTCCTGCATAGTTGAAACCGCCTCCTTCTCTACTTGAAGTGACGCCTATGAGACTAAATTGAATTCATGAGAATCGCGTAGAAGGGAATGTGTTAAGAATCCTTTTTTTTTTTTAATTTGCAGCGCAGCTTGTGAAAAAGTTGGTCCTGCATATTATATTTATATGAATATATATAACAGCTAACATAATCCTCAATACTAAAATTTGTATAACGATCAGTTCCATCGAACATCTTTTATTTTTTTGATCTTCGGTACGGACTTCTATACTTTTTTGTTTCTGATAGTTTGGGGATAGTTGGTGCCTCGCTTTACTGCTAGCAAACCATGAACCAAGTTTCAAATAGTTTTTACTCAGATTATTTCTAAAAAACAAGAAAACAAAAGAAATAAAGCAAAATTTTTATGTATCCTTTAGACGTTTTATATAAATTAACGGATTTGTTTTAACCACAATGTCTGTATATAAGAGATTTACACTCAAGAAAAAAAAGAGGGAAGGCAGCGATGCAGAAGAAGGAGAAGAACCTCGAAACACCACAGTTGATGGTGAGATAATACCAAAGCAGTCGCTGGAGGGCGAAATGCCAACATTCTTCCATGTCGGCAGATGGGCCAAACAATGCCTGACAACCGGCTATGGAATCGGTGCCTGGCATATCGATTGCACTACCAATGTTAGCGAAAAGCTCGGCCTATATAGCTTTGGGTCCGCCAAGCCTGACTTCTATAATGTTGCCGGTGGTGTAGGCATTCGAGAGAAACTGGGCATATTCAATCTGTACCAGACATGGCAGACTCAGGGCTGGTTGAGCACGATTGGAGTACGAACCGAAGCAGCTGGTGGCCTGGCAAATGCCATGCTGCGGGCTACATATATTCCACAGAACAAGTGAGTAGATGCCAGATCGGGACAGAGATCTATGTCGATCTGGCTATGTCCACCAGTATGTCTATCCATCTCGGAGCGCACGCAACCAAAGACAATATAAACACTAAGATGAGCAACGCCCATACATTAGAATGCGATGCGATGCAAAATTTCTAGCCTGGCTTCTTATCTGGCTTTTCCCACCTCACACCAATGCCAGCCGACTGGCTGTTCGCCCACCAAAAGCCAGACGAACGCATGCTGATGCTGACACGAGCCACGAAGTTAGTCGCTAGCCTGCCTTCAGCAAAGCTGGTCGATGGTACTTTGCGTCGCTTCGTTTTCGAAATACATTGAGTGAAAAAGTTTTAAACTTATATTGTCTTTGGTATAGCACAGTCGGTTGCAACTTTCTTACTTGTTTCAATCCCATCTAGTGATGGTGTCAACGTTGAACTTTATTCCGGCTACGAGCGTCCGCCGGTCAAGTTTGATGTGATCATACCAATTTGGAATGTGCCAAAATTCATGGGCTATGTGCTGCTCCACCTGGCCGATAAGTACATGTTCGCTTACCGAAGTGTCTTTAACATAAACGACCTGGAATTCGAGAAGCATGTTTTATGTTTGGGCTATCAAGATGAGAACTACGAATATGGCCTTAAACTGTAAGCTTTGCTTTTCCAAATTGAATACCAACAGTAGAATTCAAGTTGTCGCCATGTAGGGAAGACTTTAAGGAACTGCGCGGCTCCATGTTCCTGCGCGTAGGCGAGCGCTGGGCATTCGCCCTGAAGGCGCATCTTTATAGGGAGCAGGGCAGGCATTTTTCCGTTGGCGGCCAGTACAAGATCCACGATGATGGACTGTTCAAGATGCGGATACGCGATGATGGCTTCTTGGGGCTGGTCTACCAGGCGGTACTCAGCGAAAACATTGACATTATGTATCACGTTGGCGTAAATGCCAAATCACCTCTCGATGGCAGCCATAAATTTGGTGTTTCTTGGAGTCTAAAGTGTTAATCAAATAACTTTTTTTTATCGATTTATATGCTCGAAATTTTGTAATTTAAATAAAAGTGCATTGCAAGGCTCAATTTTTCAATGAATGATTTTTTTTTTAAGAAATTAAAATTTGCATTCAATTATATTTTTGTGGATATATACTTTTATTCCCTTAACTCTTGTTTTCACGAAATCGATAGAAGATTATAAGATTCATTTTTTGACCATTTTCGGATTAAAATAAATTTATATTGTATTATATTTATATTATATATGTAATACCTGACCCGATCCCCTTAGTCTTCTAGTCTTGTTTGTCATATTTAAGCTCTGAACATTTTGAAAGATCGGTCTGTACACATAAAGATCGGGCAAGTACAAAGGAGAGATGGTTCCTACGGACTCCATTGATTAAAAGTTTGAACCGAGCAATGCTGGGTAATTTATTCTAGTAAACTTCTTAAATAAATGTGTGTTGTGTCTAGTTTTTCAATTTTCTATTGTCTGTGATTAATGGGGCTTAAGTCAGCCACGTTGGCTACCACCGATAAAAAAAACTTATTGATAAATCTGAATGATGATAAATCAATGCTCTTCCATATTTATTCTGATCCAATGAAAAAGGATTTCTTGAAAGGGTCTATGAAATTATATATAATTGTTTATACCATGTCTGATTGCTGATAGCAGAAAGTGCTCTTATAAGAACATTTAAAAATATTTGTATATAAAAATATTGTATATTTGACCAACAAGAATGTCTCAATTTTTATGGTCTTGGGTTGTGCTTTCCTTTCTAGTAAACGTTGAACCAAATTTCAGTTAGATTGTAATGTCAAATGTAAATACAGATTTAAATTGCAGTTTTGTGGTCCTCCAGCTATTTTCTATATAAATTAACGGTTCATAATTTGTCAAAATGGCAGATTCTAATAAGGCCGAAGAAAAACCTCCAAATCCAGAGGAGACAATTCCTCCGCCCCCGTTGGAGGCAGAAATGCCGACATTTTTCCACATCGGTGGATGGGCCAAACAGTGCTTGGTATCCGGCTACGAATTTGGCGCTTGGCACTTCGATTGCTCCACTGGTGCTGGAGACAACATTGGCCTTTATAGCTTTGGTGCGGGCAGACCTGAATTTAAAGATGTTTCCGGCGGTGTGGGTATTCGCGAGAAGGTGGGTATCTTCAATATGTCGCAGGGTTGGCAATCTGGCGGCATTTTGGGTACGCTTGGTCTACGCTCTCCATTAGTTGACGGCGTGGCGAATGCCATGTTACGTGGCATATATGATATACAAGGCGAGTAAGTATACGTTATATGACTGCGAACAAAGTATAGCCAAAGACAATATAAACACTAAGATGAGTAACATCTAGCCTGGCTTCTCATCTGGCTTTTCCCACTTCACACGGCATGTCAGCCGACTGGCTGTTCGCTCTCCAAAAGCCAGACGAACGAATGCCGTAGTAGCGGCTTGCTAATGCTGACACGAGCAACGAAGTTAGTCGCCAGCCTGCCTTCAGCAAAGAAGTACATTGAGCGAAAAAGCTTTAAACTTATATTGTCTTTGGTAAAGCACAGTCGGTTGCACCTTTCTTACCTGTCTTATTACTATCTAGGGATGGTGCAAAGATTGAACTCTATTCCGGCTACGAGCATTCGCCCGTCAAGTTTGATATGATCATACCCATTTTGAATGTGCCAAGATTGATGGGCTATGTGCTGCTCCAGCTGGCCGAAAACTATCTGTTGGCCTACCGGACGGTCTATAACTTCGACGACTCGGCATTTGAGAAGCACGCCTTGTGCGCGGGTTTCAATAATGACAAAACCGAATTGAGCCTCAAGTTGTAAGATTCGTTTTTAAATATCTTTTCCGATAGTTGCTTTAATGTTGTGCTTATGCAGCGAGGACTTCAAGGATTGGCGTGTCTCCATATTCCAGCGCATAGGCGAGCGCTGGGCGGTTGCCCTGAAGGCGGATATTTACAGTGAAGACGATATGGAAATTGCCATTGGAGGCCAGTACGAGGTCCATGAAAATGCACTGCTCAAGATGAAGGTGCGCTACGACGGCTTCCTGGGGTTGGCCTACCAAGTACATCTCAGCGAGAATATTGCGATTAGGTACCACGCTGGCTTGAACGTCTCAGATCCCATCAAAGGCGACCACAAAATTGGCCTTTCCTGGCTTCTTAGGTGTTAGATTTAAACGCAAAACGATAATGTGTTGTAAATGGGCTGGATCGAGTTCTGGCCAGAGTTATCTTGCCCCGCACGATGTTCTTCTACTGTAGCCAAGCATCTAGTCTGGGCATGGAAGGAGTCGTCCCCGCCAGGCTCGTGTGTAAGGAGTTAAGGAGTATAAAATTGTTCATTAAAGTGTTTCTGGCATACAAATTGTTTAATTGTTATTAATATTTGATCAAATGATTAGGTAAAGACGAGTTGTCTTTGAGTGAGGGTCCGTTTCTTATGCTAAATATATGAGACAGACTTTTAAATGTATAAAGCTAAAAATATCTGACGCCGCCGGCATCATTTATACCCAACATCTCCCCCCCCCCCCCCCTCACCACCCTTCCCGATAAAAGCCGTCATATTTGTTAATAACATAAAACAACGCCCCCATTTTCGCTTTCTTATGAAAATAGCATAAAATATATACATATATAAGAATTTCTCCTGTTCCCAAAGCAATATATTAAATACCAATCCATTACAAAATGGAACTTATTTTTCCCCTCGAGGCTCAGATTTAATTTTCTCGAATCAATTGGACAATAGAAAAGACTTCTGTTAAAATTCATTGAAGCACTCATAGTTTCTTAATATTCCCGTCTTCCGGCTGCTCGCATGCCCCAACCCCAAATCGAGTCCATAATGTGCTGGGGGTACGTTAACTCCATGCTCATTCGACTGTTCCGGGACGTGGCTCAAACTTTGCTTGAAAACCTCAAGAACACCATAAAAAAAAGAATGGTGCTTTACAAACGTGAAATCAATCGCTTCTGACACCTGTCCGAGCGTCGGACAAGAGAGCAGAAATTGGTTCAAATTCAGCAGAAATTGTACATTTTTGTTTATTTATTTTTATATTTTTTACAAAGAAGAAAGTAATACTAATAAAAAAAGAAAATTATATGCAATAACAAAAAAAATAAGTAGCAATAGTAGTAAAATATTTTCTTTTGATTGGTTTGTTGCGAGCAAAGTAAGCAAAATGTTCTAGGTTCTTAACTCACACGGGAAAAGAAATTAACAAAATATGTGAGCTTTTTTAAAGAGTGCAAAAGGTCCCATTTGGACTGTTAAATGCGATGTGAAGAAGCGGGATAGTATCTCAGAGTACATGACATTTTCCATGCTTACAATTGGGAGTCGGAAGTATGATGAATATGTGGATCCATCGTGACCATAAGAGAGAAGAGAAGTCTTGTATATATTTGATGTTTACGCGAATTTTACAATCAATTTCCCTTGTAATTACATCATTATTTTTTATATCACGCATTTCATTTTTTCGACAGTTATCATATTTTTTTTTTGTATAAATTTGCGATGGGCTGTTTCTCGAAGTGCATTGCTTATATAGAATGCAAATGAGGCGTATCTTTGAATTATATCTATTAACAGTTTTGGAAAGGGATGACCAATTATTGGCCCTTGCGGAGCTGATCGTTGCTTTATTCTTGGTGCTTATGAGATTGGACTCGAACCCGCGCACAAAGTCCGTCGTGCTCATGGGCTTAGCCTGACGCCTGTCTCTGGTTCGGCATACCTCCAAGTCGGGCATTGCCCAATGGAGTACTTGCTAAAAATAATTATTGTTTTGTATTATATTAGTATTGAGTTTTTCATCACGTTCCGAAACCTAAATCGCCCCGACTTTTGACATTTCTATGACAGGCACCTGTCACCTTTTCAGCTTGACCTTTATTTTAGTTTGAATTTTTCGAGAAAAAAAAGTGATATCGCTTTGCTTTTAAGCAAGCAATGTTCAGTATTTCATAGACTTTGTAGTGATAAATTCAGAACGTGGACAAAAATTTTAGTATACTTTTGGTTTTTTATATTTTATAAAAATTAACAGTTAATAGATTATACAAAATGTGGAAAAGAAAATGTTACAAGAAAAAGAAGAAGGAGGAACCAGTGATCGAAGAGACAGATGATAAAAAAAAAAAGGACTCCAAATCAGATGATGACAGTAAAGCGGAGGAGGTAATACCTCCGCCCCCGTTAGAGGGGGAAATGCCAACATATTTTCACATCGGTGGATGGGCCAAGGAATGTTTGATAACCGGCTATAAAATTGGTGCCTGGCATTTTGATTGTACCACACAACTGACCGACAAGCTTGGGATATATAGTTTTGGGAACGGCAAGCCAAACTATTACGGTATCTCGGGCGGAGTCGGTCTTCGCGAGAAGTTGGGCATTTTCCACATGTGTCAGGCCTATCATACCAATGCCTACGTCGGTGCGCTCGGAGTGCGTTCCAACGTCGTCGGCTGTTTAGCCAATGCCATGCTGCGGGGCACATACGGTCCCCATGACGAGTAAGTAGATTGCTAAGCAAAAGAATATCAAAGGCATAAGGAGGAGGCAAAGACATCAGCAAGCCGCGACTTCGGCATTCGTTCGTCTGGCTTTTGGAGAGCGAACAGCCAGTCCGGCTGGCATTTCGTGTGAAGTGGGAAAAGCCAGATGAGAAGCCAGGCTGGAAATTTTGCGTCGCATTGAAATGTATGTGGGCGTTACTCATCTTAGTGTTTAAATTGTTTTTGGAGGAGGTATATTGGTCATATTTATATTCCAAATCAAGCCAAGTCCGTCCGTTAGAATGAGCCCCTATTGGAACTAAAGATTTCCCATTTGGAATCAATGCTCTATTACGCTATAAGTAAAAAAGGATTCTCACTTTCTCTATAAGAGCAATATGAATTAATATGCAAGCCTTTAATTTAGTATATCTCGAATATACCCCTCAGATACTATCACAAATTCTTACTTTCGTCCAAGTCTACCCACAATCTTTTCGGCCTAAGTAGATCTTTCCAACGAGTCGTTACTTTTACTCCTTATTCCTTCGCACTGTGAACAGAGTATAGCACAGTCGGTTGCATCCGACTTCAACATTCTTATTTGTTTTATTCTGCTCTAGACCTGAAGTAAAGCTTGATCTACATACGGGCATCGAGCGATCGCCGATCAAGTTAGATGTTATCGTACCAATTTTGAAGTCACCGAAACTAATGGGCTACGTGGTTCTGCAACCGGTCCAGAACTATCTATTAGGCTATCGGACGGTCTACGACTTTGACAATATGGGCTTTGACGTGCACGCATTATGTGTGGGATACAATAACGGTAGCTCCGAATTGAGCCTAAAATTGTAAGATTTCTTTTCAATATTAACTGCTAACATTAGCTTAAATGCTGTGCGCACGCAGAGAGAACTTCAAGGAACTTCGAGGCTCGATATTCCAGCGCATTGGCGAACGCTGGGCGGTTGCCTTGAAGGCAAATATTTACGGAGACGATGAAAGGCAAATTGCCATTGGAGGCCAGTTTCAGATCCACGAAAATGCATTGTTGAAGGCCAAGGTGCGCGACGATGGCTTTCTGGGGATGGTCTACCAGGTTAATGTCAGCGAGACAATTGGGATTATGTATCACGTTGGTTTAGAAGTCGGCTCGCCTATCAAAGGCGACCATAAAGTTGGTGTATCGTGGAGTATAAAGGGTTGAAACCTTTTGTGTACTAAATTCAGATCAGAAATTTTGTGTACCATGTTGTTGTAGCTATGTATCAGATCGTTTTGTAATGTTTTCAGATACTTATGGATGGTCCATAGCCTCCACCAGATTGATGCAGCTTCGACTGTGCCGGTGCTGAAACTTTTTTAAAGAAAGATAAATTGTTCATTAAAACTGTTTTGGCCAGCAAAACAAAGTTGTTTTTCTTTAATCTCTATATATATAAAATGCAGCCCAAACCGCATGTGTGGAAAAATCGCGAAAAACTGTATTAAACTAGCTCGGTCAAATCTCATCCGATTTTTATAAGGCTTGGCTTTTTGTCCATTGGTCACCTCTAGATCCAATTGGCATCTAAGTCTGGCAACATTATTTTTAGTCAAAATTCATGTCATAATGTTACCCTCAACTATCCTATATAGACACATACCCGTATTACGGGCAAGGCCGGGGTATACCCGCTAGTATTTTAATATTTGGAGAGGTGTTCAAGGGTTTCCTAGTATTATCGAAGATTAAACGTCGATGCAGACATTAATTGGATGATCGTTATACATTGGAACTAATTAAGGTCGCTGTGATATAGTCGGGCCTGCCCGACTAGGAGATAACCTGAAGCAGATCGCTTTATGCTCTCGTCGAGGGTATCATCTAGACGGGAACTCCCGACTAGAGACTCTTGTTTCCATTTTGCCTTCTAGCAAACCATGAACAATATTTCAAAAAAAATTGTTTTGTTAAATAAAAACAAAAATGTAAAATTCCTTTATTTGGTTGTTTAGATATTAATTTTTAAATTTTTTTTTTTAAATTTATTAACGTTTTCTCTTTTATCGTAATGTCTTTAAAGCAAAGGTTAAGCTTTAAAAAAAGGAAAAGTGGTCTTGGTGCACAAACCGAGGAAGGTGGTAGTAGTGCATCAGAAACGACCAAATATTTAAACGATGAGGAGATAATACCAGGCCCTCCGGCGGAGGGCGATATGCCAACGTTTTTTCACATCGGCTCATTGGCCAAGCAATGCCTGATATCTGGCTATAAAATTGGCACTTGGCATATCGATTGCACTACTAATGTTAAAGATAAAGTTACTTTATTTAGTTATGGGTCTGGTAAGCCCGCTTTTCGCAATGTTTGGGGCGGCGTTGGCATGCGCCAGAAATGGGGTATCTTCGACATGTTTCAGGTTTGGCAGACCGATAACATAATGGGAGCGGTTGGTGGACGCTCTAAATTAGTTGGCGGTACGGCGAATGCTATGTTGTGGGCCATATATAATCCACGCGACGGGTAAGTAAAAATGTTTATAAAATTCCAGAGCAGGAATACGGCCTGAGTTGATATAGCCAAGTCCTTCAATTTGTCATTCCGAGGCTATAGGAGCTATAGGAGGAGGGATTAAGTTGAGGTTCTCGTATATAATACGCAATTTTTAGGGAAAAGTTCTTGCATAATAACAAATATATATTCCTATATATATAAATTTATATCTAAGATAAATAAATATAAGTATAATTAGAGATCTTACTGATATTTAAGTTTACAGTTATTAGTAAAATGTTGAAAATTAATATTACCCTCAGTTATTCAGCTAGCCACCAATTTTTTATCCTTTAACCAACTTAACTAGCCGCTTTGTGACATTACGCTGTGAACAGAGTATAGTCAGTCAGGTGCATCCGATTGCAAGGCTCTAACATGTTTTTTCTTATTTAGCTCTGGTGTCAAGCTTCAAGTGTATTCCGGCTACGAGCATTCGCCTATCAAGTTTGATTTGATTATTCCAGTTTTGAATGTTCCAAGATTTTTGGGCTATGCGCTTTTACATATCGCCAAGAATTATCTGTTGGCATTTCGAATGGATTATAACTTTAGAGAAAGGGCCTTTGATAAGCATGCAATATGTGGGGGCTATTATAATGGAAGCACCGAATTGGGCCTTAAGTTGTAAGATTCTTTTTTTCAATTGTTTTCCAATAGTAGCTTTAATGTTGTGCGTATGCAGCGAGGACTTCAAGGATTGGCGAGGCTCCATATTCCAGAGATTAGGAAAGCGCTGGGCTGTTGCCTTCAAGGCGGACCTTTACACTGAGCAGCCAAAAAAATTTGCAGTTGGCGGCCAGTACCAAATCAATGATAACTCGCTGATTAAGGCAACGGTGCGCGACACTGGTTTTCTGGGTCTAGTCTACCAGTTAAACCTCACAGAAAACATTGGAATTACGTATCACGTGGGCTTAGAGCTCAAAGATCCTATCAAGGGGGAGCATAGAGTTGGTATTTCGTGTAGTCTAAAGGCTTAATTTGAAACATTTTTATTAATTTATACAAGAGAAAAAATTCATATGTTATCTAAATGAAGTGTTGTGGAGCTGGATTAATTTTTAACCAGATTTTCCTTGCCCCGTTCGTTGTTCCTCTGTTGAAGCTGAGCAGCACGTTTGGCCATGCCATCCTTCACCCATGGATGAGTCATCACCTCCACCAGGCTGATGCGACCCTGACTCTGTCGACGCAAAAGCTTTTATGGGAGTGACAGAATTGTATATTAAAGTCTTCGGCAAAATAAAACATCTATAATTTTTTAAATATTTTAATAAGTCGAATTTCTTCGGAAAACCGAAGAAAGCTGAGCAGGCATAAACCGGCTGTGCGATATTTTTTCGGCTCTTCGCACGATTATAATGGTTCGTTTTACAACGTGAATTAAATGCTGCTATGCGCTAGGAGCATAGTTGGGATTCATTTAAGTCAATTTACGATCAAACGAACCGGTCGAAAGCAGACAAACAAGGCGACATACTGATTAGGAATAAGCATCTGTTTATATAATTTATAAACGGATCTCACATAATGGACATGGTCAATGTGGCTTGTTTTAAAGATATATTTAATAATCAACTTACTCCTGAAATAACTTCCTTTGCGCCGGATGACATATGCGATGGATAATGAATATCTAACCGCTTGATTTTCTCATACGTATTATCAGAGCTGTTGGATTCAAAGGGCGGATTGCCTACCAGAAATTCATAGCATAAAATGCCCAAGCACCACTGATCAACGCTGTCATCATAGGAGCGACCGTCGACCATTTCGGGCGGCAGATAATCCAAGGTGCCGCACAGGGTTTTGCGCTTGTTGTTGGGCGTATGCGCAGACCAGCCAAAGTCCGCCAACTTCAGATCATCTGTGCCCGTCAGCAGGATATTTTCTGGCTTAAGATCGCGATGTATGACATTATTGAGATGGCAATAGTTGAGCGCATTGGCCACCTGGTAGGTGTATTTCGCTGACCGTGGCTCGTCGAACCGATGTTTGGGCGCATTACGCAAGTGCTTGAATAGTTCGCCCTCGGACGCTATTTCCAGTGCCAAGTAAATGCGGGAATCATCATAGAACCATGTTAGCAGGCGCAGTATATTAGGATGCTTGAGACGCGACTGTATTTCGATTTCGCGGAGCACCTGCCGCTGCACGTTACCCTTGCGCAGCTCCTCCTTAAACATCACCTTCATGGCAACCATGTAGTGGGAGTGACGCTCGCGTGCCAAGTAGACGCGTCCGAACTTGCCGCGTCCCAAGGGCGCGCCCAACTCGAAATCGCGAGTGCTCCACTGATAGCTGTTATGTGGCATCAAATATACGTATAAACACCTCCCACATTTTTCAACAAAAAACTTACGGTTTCCCATAGGCATCATGCGACATCATTTTGAGGCACATTTGTTTGATTGGGTCTTGATGTTCCTCTGGCACATTGCTCATCAAATGCGGCAAATGGTCTCGTGTTGCGTGCTTCGTGCGAACAAACGCCATTGCAGATTCCTGGTTCACTAATATTCTAAAAGCAGTGAAATTATAATATTTTTTGCGACTATCAATGTAGCGTCACAGCTATTTGCGCGTTTTTTTCGAATGTCAACTTATTTGTTTCGATACTACTCGCTGCATTTTAATTTGTACTCGATATTTTGATAAAGGAAATTCTGAGAGCACGCCAACAATCGATGACTGTTCACTTTTATTGGTGCTTGTGCCATTACAGCTGATTCTTCGAGTAATTGTAAGTGTGCGGATATGCTACAAACTTTACAAACTATATTAGGATGTATTAGATTTTGTAGAAAATTTAGAATAATGCGTTAAATACAAAATGGCTTGTTAACATTTTATTAAAGTTGATTGCGCCATATCGCAGATGTTTTAAACGATATTAATAATTCGACAGTCCTCTAAATCAACTCTGTGATATCGACATTCAGATGTTATCGAAGTTGTATGTCGGACACCTCTGTCTCTGTCACAAATAATGAGCTCACATTGTGTAGACATGATTTAGAAAATCTAATTTTTGTGTGTTCAAGAGCAAAAAACAATATTTTCTCCTACGTGTAGCAAGCAAAAAAGTTTGCGCGTTACTTTGTGCAAGTGTATTAACTAATTCAACTACTTCTTGCGGTAATTGTGAAACTGCAATTATATAGGCCACGGAAAGATTCTTGGGTAAGCAAAAAACAAAATGGCGTAAACTCGCACACATGCCAGCACAGACTCATACACACACTCACGAACGTTGCACATTGTACCATATATGGCATTTTCACATTCTCTTGGTTTTCTTTTTTGCAACGCAAAAAGGTGCGGCACTCAATTTGATGTAAAGGTAAGTTCCAAAAGGTAAAGGTGCTCACACATAACACGTAAATACCATACGAAACGGTACAACAAAAATGTCTGATGCGATGAGCGCACCGCCGCCATTAATACCCCAGCTGCAAGAGATGCAGCAGCAGCAACAACAACAGCATCACCAACAACAACAACAGCAGCAACAACAGGCGGCAAACTCTGCTACTGCGCAGCAATGGAGTAACTACGCCTGGTGGCATCATCATGGCAGTAACGCAGCTGCCTATCAACAGCAATATCAACAATATTATCAATATTATATGCGCTACCAGCAGCAGCAGCAACAACAACAACAACAGCAGGTAACATCGACCATCAGTTCGTCAAATGCGCCGCCTGGTTTTAGCAATGCGCTGGCGGCACCGCCGCTACCTACGGCTCCGCCACCGCCGCCACCACCACCTGCACAGTCGGGTAATAAAAATCAACAACAACAACAACAGCAGCAGCAACAGAAAAATTTTGGTGGCATACGTTTTAATTTAAATTTGAATCAAAAACGTTTGGCAAATGCGCCAAATCCGCTGCAGCAACAACAACAACAGCAGCTGCAGCAGCAGCAACAACAGCACGCTATGCAGCAGCTTAATCTCTATAATAACATGAACAACAACAACAACAATTCTAACAAAAAGAAGCGCAAGCGCAATAACAAAAACAATAATAATAATAATAATAATAATAACAACAACAACATGAACAAACAACAACAGCAGCAGCTGACTGCTGCCTATGAACCGTCGTCTGCTGGATTCTCTGGCATTTCTCTAAATCCATTTTCTACGCCAGCAGTGCCGTCCACACCGGATTTAAGCAAGCCACCACCCCCCTTACCCTTAATACAAACACCAGCACTAGCAGCTGCCGTTGTTGCCCCACAACAACAGCAGCAGCAGTCGCCTCCGCCGCAGCCGCCGGTAGCTGTTTTGGAGCCGCAGCAGCCAAATCAGTCGCAGGCACTGCCGCAACCAGCAGCAGCAGCAGCATTTAAACGTCCCAATAGCTGCTTCCAAATGGGCTCGAATGATTCGTGGCCTGATTCTCTGAATCAGTATGTGGCCCGTTGCTATTCCAAGTGTACAACCGACTTGGACAAGGATCAAATCGATATCTGTCTAAAGGGTAAAATTATTGCCGCCGCCAATCGTAATGAACTCTGGACGCGCGACTGGGACAATGAGCCCATGCCGACGGTGCACAGCGAGCGCGATGCCATAGACGTGGTGCTAAGTAATGTAACGCCTCCACAACCACAACGTAGCAACTACTTTAACAAAAAACAGCAAGAACAGCAGCAGCAGCAGCAGCAACCACAGCAGCTGCAACAGACAACCCCAAAGCCTAGTCAAAAGACACCAAATGTAAATCAATTTAAACAGAAGGGCAATGCCTTTAACAAGTTTGCCAATGGCGGCTACGGACAGCAGCAGCAGCAGCAGTCTTCCCGCTACTCTAGGAGTCGTTCACGGTAAGTTATAAAGAAATAACTAAAAAGATATCTCATATTACAATATATATACGGAATACATGATTTTATTCCGACTTTATATTATCAATGGTAGTTAGGTAGGTTAGAACACATAAATGTAAATATATGAAATGGTCGAAATGGTCTCAAAATTGTAGAATGACTAAAAAGCGTAGTAAGACCCGAACTGCTAGTTACCATTTCATCAAAAAATATTGTTAAATTTTGATTATTTGAGGAGAGTGCTTAGTTGTTAAAATTGGACTTATCTATTTATATCGATTTATCTTCGAAATAGATACAGCTATAGTTTTTTATTTTTATTATAGTTATATATAAAAAAAAGAACAATTTTTAACATGTGCTTGCATTTTGCAGTTCGCCCACGTCGTCCACGTCCTCGGCATCAAAATATAACAATAGGAAACGTTATTCTCGTTCGCCACGTTCGCGTTCCCGTTCCCGTTCCCATTCGCGTTCGCGCAGCAGCAGCGCCAGCAGTCCACCAGCTCGTAAGGTGCTCCGCAAGACTGGCTTAAATGATTCACTGGGCAGCGATTTTATACCAATCAATTCGAATCTGTCGAGGAAACAGCAGAAAATGCTGATGAAGAGGAATAAGCGTGCAGCCGCTGCCGCCGTCGGTGGCAAAAAGAAGACGCCACATTTTTATGCCACGCATTCGTCGTCGGTGGGCGGTGCCGTTGATGATGACACAGCGCGCTTGCAACAGCGTGCGGCACGTTTCTCACAGTCGAGCAGTGGCTCGACTAAGAAATCTGTCGTCGCAATTGCAAGCTCACCGTTTGGTCTCACCACGGCCAAGCATAAGAAGAGATTGCAGGCCGCGGCGGCGGCTTCCCGTTCAGCGTCGTCGTCCATGTTCTACGAGGATGATGCGGGTGCGGCGGGCTTAGATTTACTCAATTTGCATATTGTAGGCTCATGTAGGGATTTAGAAAAGTCATTCTTGCGCCTTACCAAAGCGCCATCACCATCCGAAGTGCGTCCCGTTGAGGTGCTCACTCATTCGCTGGCTAATGTGAAAGGCAAATGGCGAGCCAATCAGGATTATCATTATGCGTGTGATCAGTTGAAGTCCATACGCCAGGATCTGACTGTAAGTCCAGGATTTAAACCCCTTTATCATTTAAAAACTCGTTTCAACAGGTATTCCTTTGTTTTTCCTAGGTCCAAGGTATACGCGATAAGTTCACCGTTGAGGTATATGAGACGCATGCGCGCATTGCCATGGAGAAGGGCGATCATGAAGAGTTCAATCAGTGCCAGACACAGCTTAAGATGCTTTACTTGGAATTGGGCAACAGCAGCAATTCGCTCGAGTTTACGGCCTATCGCATTATCTATTACATCTTTACTAAAAATACCTTGGGTAAGTTTTTATATATTTTATATGAGTTCAAAAATAGAGAAAAAAAAAACAAGATTAGGAATTTTAGTTTCAGGTTAGAAAGCTTAAATTTCTTTATAAGATATATTCATTTAATTAGAATATTTACAAAATGTTATGTTTTTGTCAATTTTGATGACTCCGTAATGCATTATATTTTGACTCCCTTTAAATTAATTTGAAATGCGTAAATGAACCATTAAAACAAGATTGTGTCGAGTTTAACTAGAGCCTAAACTAGAGAACATAAATATTTAAAAACTGCGTATATATTAAATATCAGTAACACAAGTTTACCAATTTCCTCCATGTATTCAATTAAATTTCATTTTTAATTTGTATTGCTAAATTAGAAAATCTGTGTAGCGCAATAATATCTATAAACTAGTTTCGTCAATTTATCTGTAATACTATAGAAAATTGTCTACTTGTTTCAACTTGAATTGCAAATCATTATATATTTCCATAAGCCACTTATAGTCCGTCAAAAAAGTGAATCAGAAAAGCATTTCATATATTTGTAGCTTAATTACATTTTTTTTTACCCACAACTAATGTTTTCTTTGTATTCTACGCTTAATTTTTTTGTTTGTAGACATCACAACTGTTTTGCGTTCGATAACAGCTGATCAGCACGAGAATCCTGCCATTGCGCACGCTCTAGAGTTTCGTTCCGCATGGTCGCTGGGCAACTATTGCAAACTATTCGATCTGTATAAAAGGGCGCCGCTCATGTCGGGCCATATGATTGAATGGTTTTTGGAGCGCGAGCGCAAGGCGGCACTGCGCATAATTATTAAATCGTAAGTGAACTATAAACTAAATGTTTGAGCTATTTGTGTTTAAGTTATGCTTTTTCCGTTTACTTGCAGTTATCGTCCCAACATTAGCGTCGAATATGTGTCAAATGTTTTGGCCTTTGATAGCACTGAGAAGTGCAAAGAATGGCTCGACACCTTCAGTTTACCCTATGCCGCAGACGGCGCTCAAATTGATTGCAAAAATGCAGCTGCTATTGCCATTTGAAGCCACTAACAAAGTGTGTTGGGCGTTTTTAAACTAAACTACAAACAGGTGTGGAGCGTGACGGCTTGGGCTGGCAGCGAGCGCACCATCAAAGACAATATTCAACAAAAGATCCATACTCGATATCCGTTTGAAAAGCTCTTCAACTGTTAATTAGCAGAACGAGCATTTTTCACGGTATCGACGCGGCTACCTCCCTGTCTCTCTCTCCCTCTCTATCTATCTTTTAGCCTGGCCCCTTTTGCACCATTGTATATATTCGATCTATTAGTGCGTGTGGCCTTGCGTTAATGTTAGGAAGTTTTTTTTTATATGTATGCATCATTCTAGATTGAAAATGTATCTCAGTTCGGTTTTCCCTCCCCTTAATCCAACTCAAATGTGTCTGCAAACTCTTACACCACACCCAATTCGTCGTCGGTTCACATTCTCATGGATTTTCAATTAATGTCTTCTCTGCGCTTAAACGTTTCATCAAAATTCCACGTCCAGCCTCAACAATCTGCTTTCGCTGAACATCGTCGAGTACCTCGCATGGATTATCTAATGATCTTCATATGGATAGCATCCTGGAACTTCGCGTCGGTTTTATAGCGATTAAGGTGAATGCTAAACGGCTGATGCTGGAAATGCTCAAAGTCAACAGGGACTCGGCACTCAAAGTAGTAAACGGCAACAGGATCGTGGCTCCTGGGATCAGCAGAAGAGATTCTCAGGATATGTCTGAAATACATAGAAAGGATCAACAAATGGATCAATGCAATAAACGCTGCACGCTGATATCCACAAATAGATTATGTATTAATCAGGAAGGCCGCGATCAACAGTCCAGTTAAGGGCGTTGTTGAGCTTCAAGCAATTATTTGAACGACGCCTTAGCCGATTCGTCTTCATCCGTTTTAAATAACAATTTAGCAATGCGGCATCCGTTTGGCTCTCATAACTGAAGTCCAGCACAACGCTGGAACATCTTTTCAGGTTTTTGGAGTGGTTCCTACCAAAGTCTAACGTCCGTAAAACAGCAAAAATAAAAAACTAAATTGAAATCCATCATAATAATCAACGTCCTAGTTGAACAAAACTTTTAAATGGGTTTCTCAGATAAAAAGAAACAATGAAAATTTCAAGTGCAAGTTATAAAAATGTGAACCTTACCTATCTAAAAACTGAACAGAACAAAGCAAAAGTGAACTAAAGTCTATTAACCATAATATTAACAAAGAAAAAAAAAAACAAGCAGCAGCAACAAATAACAATTAACACAAGAAACAAAAATGCAGGCTCAAAACAGAGTCTAAACAATTACGGCTGGCTCCTAAGCCGATATTTGTTTTCAATTGTTTTTTTTTTTTTTTTATACCCCTTTTAACATATTTAAATGAATTATTTTTAAGCCTTAGCTTTAACGTTTATTTGTTTAAATTATTGAAAAAAGGTTTCCACTAATGTCTTGTCTCTCTATTGTATACCTGTATATATACAACATCACCAACACCATCATCCAACCAACATCATCAACAACAAGAACAATAATCGCTACAGCATGGAGTCAAGCGCCGAAAAAACAACCTCCCAACTATCCGGCTATCATACGGCGGATTCCAAAGTCTATCATCACGTCGACGTCAGCAATAATCGCAACTGCTCGGGACTTGTAAGCTCTTCCAATTTTAACCTGTCAAACAAAAACAAAAACAAAAAAAAACCTCAATATAATATGTATGTTAAGTGAGATTATTGAAGATTCCAAATGGATATCACAAATTTATAAAAAGCAATAACAATTGGCTATATTAGTTAATTTGTGTTTAGTGGGGGGCCATGTAGGGTATATATACATATATTTATTCACATAGATTAGGTTAGTTTTAAGCACAACTTTTTTGTTGTTCATTTATGCTAAGGTTAATTGTTGTAGTTTCTTTTAATTTTGATGAATGTTGAAAAAACCAAATCGAAATCAATTGAGGATTTCAACGCATTTTTCAGCAGCTTATCACAAAAAATGCGTCCTTTGCATGCAAAAAGTGAAATAAAAACGCGCTTTTAAAATCTATTAAAAAAAAAAACCGGATTGACTTTTATTTTGAAGCGGATTTCCTCAGCGCTACTCTCTGCCGGACACCTTGTCAGGTGGCTACCTGGATCAGCCACCCCAGAGTCCAGAGTTCCCAGTATAAGTAATTAGTAAGGCAAGGAGCCGTTAGATCACTATATATAGTTAGATACATATATATAGAATCGCAATAAAATAAGCATGAAGTTAAGGTATAAAGTTATAATGTAAATTTGAATTTAACCGCCGTCCGCCGCGGCAACCGTGTGTTACTGATCGGTTACTCAACATCCATTGAGTAATAAAGAGACAGAGGAGGCTTTTGGATCAAAAGCTCTTTTTCGAAACACTTCACGAGCGATAGCGAGGTTGCAAACACCATTGAGTATTACTCATTGAGCATTGAGTAATAAAGAGTATTACTCAATGGCTCCGAGCTGCGAGCCCTAGCATGTGACGTCACATGCGCAACAGAATGTTGCAATCTTCTCAAATTCATTTAATCCCTTGGCTTGGAAAACACGTGCATGCATATTTTTTGCCAATGTGTGTGAGATGAGACACACACACAAACAACTATTTGGCGCGTCGAGGCATTGATACCCTTTTTTATAGAAATGGTATAGAATGTGTAAGGAAAACAATTATTATTGATTGCACTAATAGTTGCACACTAAATACGATATTATATGTTTCTCAGAGATTAGATAAAAATGTGTATATGAGAAGGTTAGTGCTATTTGGTTACAGAACTTATGAATAGTTAAAATACCCTATTTTGCTGATCGAAAAATGAAAAATTATAAAATCTGCCGGGCTGCTTGCAAGTTGAAAGCGAGTGGAGAAGAAGAAGACATGACTTTGCGAATTAAAGGCATAGCAGTGCTTAGAAACCACAACAATGAGTTAGAAGAGTGTAGAAGCTTAGATCATAGGCTGTAGCTTCAAACCAAAAAGGGATAGCAGGGACAGAATTTGGGGTGTGCTTTTTTCATTGTCGAGTCGTTTGTTTTGATTATGGTTGTTGTTGGTTCATATGGGAAATGTTCTGAAGTTGTATTTGATTTTTGGGCAACGGCAGAAGTAGCTGTAGACAGCCGGGTGTTGTGTTTGCAATTTTTCATTGAGTAATACTCAATGGTGTTTGCAACCTCGCTATCGCTCGTGAAGTGTTTCGAAAAAGAGCTTTTGATCCAAAAGCCTCTTCTGTCTCTTTATTACTCAATGAGGCGAAGTTAAGCGGGCGAGGCAAGCTCACGGCTGGACTGCCAGCGCGCCGGCACTTCTGGAGCGAACATCAGAGTGAGTAGACGTGTGTCAAGGGGGGCAAAGTGGTAGACATAATCCTAATTGGCGGCGGAGCGCTAGGGCTCCAGACAGTGTGGCAGGACCTTTACATAGATAATCTGTGTTTAACATAACCCCCTTCCCTAACCTAAAGTGTGGAGTTTTGTGGTACGAGGCTTCGCCCCGTCGCCGGTGAGAACAATCCCGGTGAACAAATGTGCTCTCAGCGATCATAAACTATTGTTTTTAATTAGCCTTGCAACATGACATTTTTTTAGCGTAGGTCACGATACAATCTTGACTTGTATGCAGCTACCTGCACTTTAGTACAAGATGGTGTGATATCATTTTACCGAGGGTCTTAGCGAGAGTTACAGTTATTTTTCTTATCAGATATACAATAATAGTTACGACTAAAATGAATATAAACATTAACGATTCCTTACTTAATTAAGAAGTACAAATCTTGGTTGCTGTTAATGGATCCCACATAACGTTGTGTATCTCTTTACCTCTCCTATGTCTTCTTGTCTTTCCGATTGCATCTTATGGTGGTCAATTAACACTTTGTCTTACGTTCTAGCTGTACAGTCAGATCTGATCGATAATATTCCTTGCTCTGGCTTGTTCACTAGCTTGTGTGGTGGGATTTGTACTTTGCACTTTGTACATAAAATTTCACGTGTGCTCCTCTTGGCAATCGAATGCTTTAAGAAATTTGCACATAATTGTGCCTTTCTAGCGGCTTCTGCCCTTTTTATTGGCTCATGCCTTTAAATGTAAGGCATTGTAATGCATAATGTCCTGCTACCTTGCAAACTGGGCAAATTTCCGAAAGGTACTTATTAACTTTCGCTTTTTCTCCTCATCCTTCCATGAGCATAAAGCACTTAACCTTTGCTCTAAATACTCCCTTTACTGGAACAGTTTTTGAACCTTTGATCTTTTCACATGATTTTCATATGATTGCAAAGTTTCTCTATGAAACATGCGAATAATAATGTGTACAAAATCTTCTGATAAGACCTCATGCAGGTAACGCCCGCGATGTCCATCGATCGCTGAAGGCGAACTTGGGCGAGGAGTGGATGCGTATGTCCATCTAACGACAGGGTAGCGACACCCTGTAAAAGTAGTACAACGTTTAAGCTGTTCGAAGCGCTTCCCTCCCCCCTCGAACCCTCTATCCCAGAAAACTAACAAATGTCTTGTAACTTGCTGGCCCTGTTAAGACTTAGATTTGGACAGTAGCCCCTCTACAACCTGTTGCATTGGCCTCAACAACGGGACTATAACCTGTTGCTAACGTTGCCGTCAAAAGGCACATTCCAGTCTAGAGCTTTAGCCTAGACGCAAACCATTGTTGATTTTCCCGATTCGTGCGTGTGGTTGTCGGGTTGGTGCAAAGCTTTCACCAATGGTGAACGGATGCTGTGTGTGGTTGTTGACTTTGAAGACGACCGTGTGCCAGTGCTGGGGGAGCGACTACTATTTAAGGATGCTGCGTTGCTGCCTTAGCTTCAGTTAACGCGCGGCGCTTGAGTTCGTTGGATCGAGCTTAAAAGTCTAATAATACAAATTCCTGCTCAAATTCAATTTGGACCAACATGATAATCAAAAGATAATAGATTATAACAAAAACTTTGTAAGTGCAGTGATACAAATCGAAAATCAAAACATATATAAAAAAGGGATAAAAAACCAACAAATATAAACAATATAATACAAATATTAAAAAAAAAAAATTTATAAAAATAACGATTAGAAATAAATATGCAAATGTAAAAAAAATATATTTGATGCATAGAGTCCGTAAAAGGTTATTCGTTTAACTCTTTCAACTTAAAAGGTAATTATAAAATTAATGCCAAAAATATGCACTACTTTCAAAAACCATTAAAACATTTCAAAATTTAAAAAAAATTTAAATTACTTTTCAATTAAGTTCAGTATAAAACACAATTACATATTATTTTATGGCGATATTTTTATCCTCTTATCTAGTGGTACAAAAAAGCACTTGCGAAACTAGTATATCATTTAATAAAAACACAATTGAAGAAAGATAAAGCAAGTGAAAATAAAATCAAGCTAAATAACTTAAAATACATAAAAGCCGACTTAGCTGGAAAACTAAAAAAATATTTAAACATCTTAATTTCTATAACACCTACATTTTTTTGTAGTGAAGAAATAAGAATATAAACAAGAAATAATCTTCATTCAATGCACATTTTGTGATTCTTCTTGTTACTTTAAGGGCAAATTTAAACAGATTTAAGTAAATATATAAAATAAATCATTTATTCCGTTAAAATCGAAATGTCATATTTATTTTAAAGTTTCAAAAATCCTTTTGGACTTTTGATTTGAGTCCTTTTTGCTTGCAATTGAAAATAAAATTAAAACATTTGCATTTTAACAATTTTAGAAATCGTTTGAGCATTAAATGAGTTTTCTGTTTATTTAATGTTAATTTAGCTGCCAAGTCAGTTTTAAGCTAAAGTTTGCCAAGTTATATATAAATTAAGTATACGTCCGGTTGTCCAGCTTTGTTTACTTAATGTTCATTTTCTTCGCAGAAATAGTTGAAATAATTAACAAGATCTAGCAATTAAATGTAAGCTTCTGTAAAGCAGCCCGAAATTGTGCAACATTTAATAATAATTGCATAAATATTGCCCAATTGTTGAGCCGCAATAATTACGCAAACTGTGCAACTAAGCCTCAAAGGCAATTGATTAATGTTGCCAATGCCAATTAAATAAATCACGAAATGAATAGAAATTTGGCCAGACTGTGAATTGGGCTTTAAAAGGGCTGTGACTGTCAAATGAATGCAAATTAACTTTTTGTTCTTCAAATCAAATTAATTACGTTTAAAATAAATCATTTATTATGATGTCAGGGCGCCTCAGACTGGGGCAAGCACTTAACTGTTGGCCGCAATGGGCCTTTGATTG